TCATCGATTCCGCAGTGCTCTCCAGAAATTTTTTATTTATTTCTGACCTGTTTGTGACCCCGCAATTTTTCTCTGGATTTCGTTGTTTGTCTCTTGATTTCGCGATTTATTTTGATGCTAGATTCTGTTTTTACTCATAATCAGATATGTTATTTTTTAAAAATTTACCTCCAACCGTAGTCTTTTCACGATAATGAAAGTGCAGATTTTTGAAATTAACAAATAAAAAGAAAAATTTGAAATAGTTTTTGCGTTTCAATTTGATTCTATTTGATGTTTGCTTAGTCCCATTGAATAGATTTTGTCTGACGGAAAACTTGACAGTCGACTGAAAATCCAATGCTTTTTCTGAAAATTCTAGATCCGCCACTAAATGCTTGTGCGTTTGAAAAACACCTGAAATTAGGGCAGAGATCAGAATGAAGTTTTGTATCTCGGGTTCCTCTTAGTTCATTGAAAATATGGGATATAACGACAGCTGACCTAAATTATACACCTGTCAAATAATGATTGTTTTTCTAAAACTACTACAATTAATGCTGCTTTTCATGGCCAGTTGAAAACCAGCGTTAATTTATGTAAAACACTTAACCCTTGATGAAAAATCATTGAAGAAACTATATATAATTTTCATCACAAAACTGAACATGTATTTTTAAAAGTCCGATAGAGAACAAACTTTGAGCTGTTCGAATTTTGAGCTGTTAAAATAAAAGCAATTTCTCTTTTTTAAGCAATGCGTATAAAGTCAGTTTGAAACAAATCGTGTGCCGTTTGTCTATAGCGAAAAAGTGCCTTAATAGGAAATGTCATAGATGCCCATCCAAACTCTCTAATTGGAAACGAACTCACATTCTTGCCAATGTTGAAAAATCGGAGTCTGGGGTTGATGGAAGCTACCAGAAAGATTTGCGAAGTTTCTCGGAAAGAGGCAAAACATCTGCATAATGTTCGGGGTAAAGGGTACTCGTACAAAATGGGAGATTTTCATGGAACTTTTCGGCAACCTCTTAAAGTCATCGGTGTGCGAAAATCTTACGTTACTATCACTTATATGCAAGAGCATCCCAAAGATTTTCATTATGCAATTAACAGGTAATTACATCGAGACTTAAATGATAACCGGTTAACTAGTTTGTGTAACAAATTTCAATCGATCATATTTTATACATTTTTCTGTACAAATGGAAATTTTTTTTTCCATAGTTTTTCCATAATTTGGATAATAAACTCCAATCAGGGTTATTTTTTAAAAAAATTGTGCAAGAAAAGCTGACTCTGGTAAAAGTTTGATGGTAATAGAAAATAATGAAACGGTTAGTCAAAAATCTAAGCATGGTTGTCAAATTAAACTTTCAGAAGAGGTAACTTTCGAAAAATTGAGGAATGAATAATTTTGATAGGGGTAATTTTTTGATACGTAAAAAACTATATCTATACAATTTTCTGTACGTATTGAAATGTATGAAGCTGCTTAATAAACGTGTGACAAACATTTTTGGACTAACAAAAACAAAAACAAACATGAACGCCTCATAAGAAAAAATCAAAATTAGACAAATCAGGAGCTAAATTAAATCAACCCAAAATGAATTAATTCAAGCTATTTTTTCCAATAGTTAAAATTTTATTATAATTTCCAACAATGCTCCAAAAACCTGCTGCTCATAGATAAATAAAACAATTGGAGAAAATAATGAAAATACTGAAAAAAATCCAAATTTTTTTTGAGATTGAAGATCCTCCCATTTTGAAATTTGAATCTTTGAAGCTATTTTTTTTTGCGTGCAACTAACTAAAAAAACTTGCGTCGAGATAAGCTCTTCCAGGTAAAATTCATTGTTTTGAAAATACTGCTGGGAAAAAAATGCTTTAAAGAACAATTTTCACAAAGATTAAACAACGGACAGAATTTACCATCTAAGATCGCTTAACAATAGCATGACATTTTAACTGATTTCAGTAACTGTTTATGATTGCTTTTTTGTTGCATTTTTAACTGAAAAAAAATTGTTAAAAGAGAGTGATGAAAATTAAAGTTTTTTATTATTGGGAGCGTTTTTTTACTGCTGATACTTTTGTAAATTCGGCAATCCAAAACTTGTCCATAATTTATCCATGTTTCTTTGCTAAAATATAGTCGAGTCCGGTTAAAAGGGATCCGGAAAATTGACAATTTTTATACCGTTATACAAACACTCTTCTTCAGGAGTTCCAACAGCATAACAAAATAATTGTTTTGCTGAAAATTTCGACAGTAAGCAGGCTTTTCTTGCAGATTTTTTTTGAAATTTACTTTGATTGGAGCTAAACAGTTTAATATCCAAATTTTGGAAACAATTTTCTGCGAAAAGAAAACATTGCAGAAACAGATAACAGACTGATTTGCTGTTATCTGTTTCTGCAATGCTTCAATTTTGCATAAAATTTTTTCCAAAATTTGGATATTAATTTGTTTAATTCCAATCAATCTAAATTTCAAAAAAAATTTTGCAAGAAAAGCCTGCTTACTGTAGAAATTTAAGTTTAACAGAAAAGGACAAAACACTGAGGCAAAGATTGTCAAATATCCAGAAGAGACAACTTTTGAAAAATTGTGGAATAAAAAAATATGCTTGGTGTAAAATTTTGATACGTAAAGATCATTTTTGACCGACCGGTTTCAAAATCATACAGGTAGGGAAGCTATATCTAAAAAAGTTTTTTTTTCGATTGACAAACTTGGCAATTTGTCATAATATGGACTTACTTATTGTGGGTGGATTTAATGTATGTAAATTTGTTCTTGAAAATTTAGCTCAAAAAATATTCGTTTTGAGTTTTGCAACATCAGAGTTGTTCCAAACAGAAATGAGACCACCTTCTTGTCTTTTCTTTCGTAAAAACACAAGCTTTGCACTTTTTACTTGACAATTGGATATTTATAGTTCATCCAAGTTTCCTTGTAAAAAGGTAGAAAGTCCTTGTAGAATGTCGTTAACGGTTCAAGGGATTTTTGAACAATTACTGCCAACCAGACTCATATAGGTCAAAAAAGTATATCTAAAACTTTTCTATCGGTGTCCAAATTGTTATATTTAAATCCGATTTTGGGATTTTAAATAAAACAATTTGTCATAATGTGGACTAATTTATTGTAGGTGGACTTGATGATTGCAACTTTAATGATGAAATTTTGGCGTGAAAAAATATTCATTCTGAAGTTTTCAACACTCAGAGTTGTTCCAAAAAAATGAGACCAGCTAAATTGTCTTTTTTTTTTCGTTAACGACACAAGTTTTGCACCATTTTTTTGACAATTCAAAATTTACAGTTTATCCAAGTTTCTCCGTCAAAATTTACTGGAGTCTGGTTCGACGGCAATCGCAACATTTTCCCCCCATCTTACGATCAATGTTTTTCAAGAGGTTCAACAGCATAGTGAAATTATATTTTTTGCAAAAAATTTAATATAGTTTGTTTTCAATTTACCTTATGTTTTGTTTCATTGAACGCTTTGTTGCAAAAAACGAAGTGACAGATGCATAGAGTGTTTTGCTCTTATCTGTTTTGCTCTTATTGTTTGTTTTAGCTGAAATTTTCTTTGATAATTTGGTTATAACTCCAATCAATGTAAGGTTCAAAATTTTGTGCGAGAAAAACTAAATCTGGTAGAGTTAACATAAAAAAGGATAAAAATGATAAAAACCTGAGGCAAAAAGTTAAGCGAATTGTCATATGAAAATGTTCAGAGGAGTTAATTTTCAAACTTGAGGAAAATATTTCTATGCTATATAAAAATGTTTAATAGTTAAAAATTATTTTCGGCCAACCGGACTCATTTACGCCAAGAAACTGTAAGCTAATTTTTTTGTTTATGGGGATTTTGAAATTGTCGATTTGTCAAGCTGTGGACTAATTTTTGGTGGCCTCACTCATTTGAAATTTTTGTTGATGAAAAACTAGCGCAAATAAACGATCCTTCTGAAACTTTCCACACTCAGAATTGTTTCAACCAGAAATGAAACCAGCTAATTCGTCATTTCTTTTTCGTTAATGTCACAAATTTTGTACTATTTGGTTGACAAGCGGAAAATTCCAGTTTATCTAATTTTCTTGCTGAAATTCAGTCGAGTTTAATTCAAAGGCAGTCGCAACAATTATAATTTTTGCCCGGTTATACGATCTTTCTTCTTCAAGATTTTTAACAGCAGGAAAAACTTGATTATTCCGCTAAAAAAATTCCACTAAGGATTTTTAAAAGCGTCAATTTGACATAATATGGACTAATTTATGGTGGATGGACTGGACAATTTTAACTTAAATATTGAAAATTTAGCGGGTAAAATATTATTCGTCATGAAGTTTTCGAACTTCAGAGTTGTTCCAAAAAGAATTGAAAAGGCTAAATTGTCATTTTTTCGGTAAGGATCCAAGCTTCGCACCATTCACTTGACAATTTGATATTTATTGTTTATCCAATTTTCTTTGTAAAAAATAGTCGCTACCGGTTCAAGGGAAATCGGAACAATTATAGTTTTTGCCCAGTTAGACTATCTATATTCTTCAGAAGTTTCAACAGCATAACAAAATGAGTATTTTCCTCAGAAATATTTTACAAGATTTTACCCCATTTATTTTCATTTTAGTTTCATGAAAAAGTTTTAAGACGAGAGAAGTAAAATTAACTTGGTTTTGTTGCAAATTCAAATGGAAAAACGTAAGCGTTTCTTTTTCAGTTATCTGTTCTGCAATCTTGTTTTTGCAGAAAGCTTCCCTTCTATAGTTTGGATATTCACTGTATAGCTCCTATCGAGGTCACGTTCCATTTTTTTTTTGCGAAAACACTTACTCTGCTAGAGGCTAAAATTAATAGAAAAGGACAAAAACCGGATCAATTGAGCAATCTCCCCCCCATTCCCGCGTGGGGGGGAGAAAGCTCAATGGGTACTTGAGACATGTTTACAACCACTTGAAAATAGTTCTAAGCACTTAAAACTAGACTGATATTATTTTTGAGAATGGATTATCAAAATTTGCTGCCTCTTTTCTCAAACAATGAATTAGCCATAAATTTTCTTAAACAAAAAAATCTTCTGAAAAATTCTTGTCTCTGCACTGCTTGCCAGACTCCCCAAAACTGGACAAAATATCAGAAAACCAAAGATGGATTTAGCTGGAGATGCCAAAACCGGACGTGTAGTCGATTTAAGCTGACAACATCAATTCGAAAAGACAGTTTTTTTGAGAACTCAAACATTGACCTCCCGAAATGGATTCAAATTATTTATCTTTGGGGAATGCGGGGCTCAAACAAAAATGCCGCAACGCAAGTGGGAGTTTCACAGAGAGCAATTGTCGACGCGTTTGCCTCCCTTCGAGAAATTTGTCAGCGGCATCTTCTCGCCAACCCAATTCAGCTTGGCGGACCAGGAATTGTGCTAGAAATCGACGAATCTTGCTTCAGTCACAAGCCAAAACATCACAGAGGTCGCATTCCACAGCAACCTATATGGGTTTTTGGAATTGTGGATACCAGCTATAAACCGGCAATTGGTTATATGGAAATTGTGGAACAAAGAAACGCTGCAACACTTCTACCGATTATACAGAGCGTAGCTCGTCCTGGATCAATCATACATTCCGACGAGTGGCGAGCTTATCGAGGAATTCAAGGCATGGGATTCGCCCATAAAACAGTGAATCATTCGGTGAATTTTGTGGAACCCGATGGGACACACACTCAAACAGTGGAGTCCTACTGGAACCGAAAAAAGACCCTAATAAAAAGCATGCTTGGATGCAGACGAATTTTCCTGCATTATTATTTGCAAGAATTTATGTGGAGAGATCGATTTGGCTCGAGAGCATTTGAAAACATTATCTTGCATATGAACAATTTTTATTCTCTATAAACCTGAACTGGCCAATAAGTGTTATTTCATTGTTTAATGTTTGAATTTTGGTTTAGTTTGTTATAATTTACTTCTTTTTTTGGCTGGGGGGGGGGGGGAGAAAGCTCAATTGGTCATTACGGGGGGGAGATTGCTCAATTGATCCCAAAAACCGCGGCAAAAGCCTAAGCGAGGTTGACAAATGTATACTTTCAGAGGAGATCAATTTTCAGAGGAGAAGCTAGGGGTAAATTTATGATATTCAAAGATCGTTTCGTGGAACTGAGCTCTTATAATAAAAATAGAAAATATACAAGGTTTTTGTTTTGATGACGTTCTGGCCAGATGTTAAATTTGTCAATATGTCAGGTTGTGGGGTAACTTATGGTGAGATGCTAAAATTCCTGTTGGCTTTTTGAACTCCAATTGAATCATTCTGTAATTGTTTTTTTTTTTCGTGGCCAATATTATTGATTGTTCCGTTCCCATAAATCTACAGATTTTTTTCTACAAGTTTTCTCCATTTTTATTTACAATAGGTTCACTTTTATCTAATCAAAAAATAGAATAAAAACGAAATCAAACTAAAATTCTGTATACTTGCTTCATTAGAGGTCAGTGTTTTTTGAAATTTGTCTGTTCACATTTATCTGGAGCTTTGTAATTTTTACGAAAAATTCACTTTCATTTTAGCAAGTTAGTAAGAAATACCTTCAAAAACTTTACTTTTTCATTCATTTGTTTGAACGTTACATAAAAACTAGAGCGTAAGGAAACATTAGAGATTCGATAAACAATAAAACTTAATGACTACTTAAGCAAAAATTATTAATGCGACTTTGTTCAATCAAATTTCTTATTAACCTGTTAGGAGTACGTTTCATGGAAGCTTCACCTTATTTTTTTTTGACAGATTACAAGAGAGATGGCCGCTCGTCGGAGTCATGGTTGTTCGGAACCCATTCGACATGATTTCAACTCGAAGCAAAGAAATGGGTGCTGTTATGACCTTAAAACATCCCCAAACTGGAAAGCTGTTTCAGACGACGATATGGAACTGTAGCAAAATCACGCCCCCAATTTCTAGCTGTCTCGAATTCATTCGTGACTCTATGGCCAATGGAACCACAATTGTCAGTGAAGATAAAGATGTGGACGAAGCCACTGATGCTATCGAGGAACACGCTGAATTAAGGTTTGATATTTTTGACCGTTTTTTGGTTGAGCATATCGTCCCCTTTTTGGGTCTTTTTCTTTGAGGATAACAAAAATTTTTTAAGTATAAATTAACGATTTCACAATTGTGATTCAAAAGATTTGAAGCTGGATCAAAATATTCGAGAAAATTAAAATTTTTGGACGTTTTTTTGATTAATCGTAATTTTTTTGGTCTTTAAGCCAGATGTGGGGGAGGTCTTTATTTAGCTGAAGTTTTTATTGCGACATATCTGAAAGCGTGAGGCGACAATTTGTCGTAAGGAACAATTGCTCACACGGGAATATTGGTAGCGACAATTCATCGCAGATCAGTTTTAAAAAAATACCTAACTTCGAAATTCTTAGCAACGAAACAACCATGTCCGGCTAACGAATTACATTTAGAGTTTTTAACAGAACTTCCGTGAATGACAAGAAGACGGGTCTGCGTTTGAGCATTCAAAGTGGTTTTTTGTAATAGCGCATCGGAGCCAATGACCAAGCATGAGTCATCAAAAAAGTTGAAATTTCAAAATTTTTGGAATGGAGAAATTACAAATTTTACTGGTTCAAACATCTGTTGAACTTTTTGGAAATAGAAAGACCACTTTATTAAGGCAAAATCACAGTTTTGTTGAAGCAAATTTCTCTACTCAATTTTGGCTTACATGTTTACTTAAACCAAAAATGAGAAATTTGAACGTCATTACAATTATCGAGATCTACTTGTTTAGTGTTTGGTGTTTATTAAAATACTTTTATGATATAAATTTCCATTGGGGTTTATTCAAAATACCGTTTTACGATTTATAATAAAAAACGCGTTTCGTTGAAAAGTTTTAAATTGAACTGAATTGTTTTGTTTTGGAAAGCCAAAACTTTTTTTAATATGAAGCAAAATATTGCAGATTGATACGAAAAAAGATTGTTTCCAAAAGTGGACATTTTCGTAGTTATGCTATCATATGAAGCAAAACTACTAAAATGGACCGTTTACAAAAATCTTTTTTCGTTCAAACAGTCAACCTCATCTATCATGAAATTGATATAAAGCGGTTGTCTCTCTTACAAAAACTGATAAGCTGAGTTCGAATTATCAATGAGCCTTCAAATTTTCCTCGGGAAAAGGGCAGTCAAAGTCAGCAAATTTTCTCGAGACAAAAGCCAATGAAAAAAAAGAAATTTTAAAACAGCACAACTCGTGAATTGAAAGCGGACTCCGCATCAGGCCAGAAACAGAATGAATGCGGAATCCGCAACAATGCTATTTTTCTCTGACATTGTTTGCTGTTTCGATTCCACGGACAAAGAGCTAAAACACTGTATTGCTCAAAACGCTCCAAAAAATAGGCAACTTTTCGGAATCCGCTGCAACAAAACTTGAGGAATCGGGATCCGTTTGTGGAATCCGCAAGCAAATCATTATAATTAATTTTAGCAAATTTAAACTGTCGTGGAATCCGCAGCGGTAAGTGGAAACCGGAAGTTGTAAGCAGAATCCACCAATTGAAAGCGGATTCCGTAATTGTAAGTGGAATCCGAAAACTGTCTGCGGAATCAGCCTAAGTTTGTGGAATCCACTTACACTTGCGATGTTCGCTTAAACTTGCAGAAACCGGAACAACTACCTGTATTCGCTTAATGCGGAATCCGCAAAAAATTAAAATAACGACAAAATTTATTTTACAGATATTTGTTCGCTGAATCCACGGAATATTTTAAAATGGATTCCACCTACATTTTGAAACAGGTTCAAGGACTTGTCTCTGGAATCCAAGGACGCAAAATTGTGCGCCTTTTCCAGTGCATAGTTTGCCTCGTAATGTAACTTCGAAATTCACAGCAACGAACCAACCACGAATCACTTTTGGAATGTATCACAGAACTGCTGAGCCAAAAAGCCCCCTTTGGTAGTAATTTAAAAAATCTTTTTTGAAAAATGTTATTTTAATTCCGCCTCCCCACGAGAAAATTCTATTTTCAACACTGCCTCGACTTGTAATGGGGAGTGTAAACGTGAGGGGGGGGGGGTTGAACGAGGAGGTGTAAGATTAATCGATTATTATCCATTGAACTCCAGTGCGGGAGGGAATGATTTGGATCTTGCTTAACGGGGATAGTTAAAAGTTAAAAAAATCCAATGGGTTCAATTTTGACAAAATTTTAATTTTACAATGTTTCAGTTTTTTCTTGAAACTTTTATGCTATTCGCTAGACCGCCAGAATAAATTTATTAGGAAATTATGAGAGACAGTTAGAAGCAAAAAAAGCAGAAGCAAGGCACCCAATTGAAGAGAAATGTTAGCCGAATAGCTAATCACTATTTATTATACTAGTTGATCCCATTTTCCTTCGTTTTGAGGGCAAGCACCTGTGAAACAATTATTCGCTCACCACCTGGTGGGTTCAATTAGCCACCAAAAAGCCTTCATTTACTGCTTTCTAAGTTCACTGTCTAGATCAGACACGTCCCTAGTCACGGTTACGTAGCAAAAGTAGACACGTCATAAAGAATACAACTACTATTTAGATACCTATCAGAATAGGGAGCAAACGTGGATATAAATATTTACCAATTGTTTTTTTTCCTAAGTTAGCGTTTTGTTCCCAATTCTGATTGGTCAAGATAGTACTTTTCTACTTTTTGACAGGTATGAATTGAAGATTGTCTTCTTTTTGACCGCAATCCCCTTGTCAATCACCAGAACATATTAGCAATTAGATTTTATTGAACTGGTTTGCTGGTTTGCGATTAATTGTCGATTTTCAAAACTTCCTAAATCACCTTTAAAACCCTTTTTCTGTTCTTGCAAAAAACTTCTGTAAAAACTTAAAGATATACTATGTGATCAGCAATCTTATTTTCAGCAATCAACTGATGGAATCGATGAACCACAACTTTTCAGCTGTGATTGTGCAGCTCGAAGACCTTATATCCCACCCACGAAAATATGCAGAACTTTTCTGCGAAGTATTGGAGCTGCCTTGCGATGAAACCTACATCAACGGTGTAGTTGCGGGGGTGCTGGATTCGCCTAACCCTTCCAGAAACGGAGTTAAATGGACTCAAACGCAGATTGAGAGAGTGAACAAAATTGTCGACCGATTTCCGAGCATATTCACAATGCCACGACTAGCTCGATTGGATCCTTGACTGAAAATGCATCAAACTTAAAACTTGAAAATCCAATTATTTAAAAAATTTGGTGTCATTATAGCAAAACTATCAAAATTTATGTGGGATCAATATTAAACTACAGAATACGCTGTCATCTATCGTAATCTTTTGAATAGCCTTCTCATTTGGCAAGGTTTTCGAAAAAAAGTTTCAGATGCAATTCCGATAGGAAGCCTGGTCACCTTATAGTTTTGAATTACCTCTTAGTTTCAAACATAAAACTAATATTGTCGTTTATTTGAAAAACACAGTCTGTATCTTGATGGTCGCTCGTCAAGGAACTGCCCAGAAAACTCGTTAATAATCATAATAAATTCGTTTGCAAGAAGGGACAGACTTGATTATTATTTACATAAGTCAAAACAATAATAAAAAAACTCCCAGCTTGGAAGAACACTAAAAAGGCCAGTTAGCTGTCTATCGAGTGGTGTCTTCAAAAATTTCGCTAAATATTCAATTGAGAGCAGTTAACTTTGCTAATTTAAACTAAAAAACCAAAAAAAGAGAAAACTACTAAAATTTTCAGCAAGAAAACCAAAAAAAAACTAAAAACCAAAAAAAAAGAGAAAACTACCAAAATTTTCAGCAAATGTTGCGCTGATTTGAGTTGCCTTAAACTAATAAAAACTTTACCTGAATTTTGAAGTGTGAGACAAATTAAGAAAATATGCAGTGTATAATTTGGCGCGACAATTTGTGTTGTATAATGTGGCGCGATGTATCTATTTTTCGCGAATAATACGAGTCGTATTTGGGTTAATTTTTTGATGTAACATAGGGTTCGCATGAAAGATCAGGGCAATGTTTTAACGAAGCTTCTCAGATCGAGCCTCCCTTAAAGCGAAACAAAAGACAAAAACTTTGAAAATATTCTTTGAAGTTTCAACGCATAGATGCTGACCCACTTTGTTGTCTGCAAGGTGCTTCCATAAACTTTGAGACATTTGATCCCATTCTTGTTTTTCTTTGCTAGTTAGGTCTCGTTTCCGGTATATTTTTTCAAGATTCAACTATCTATCTGCTGGAAATAAAATTGCTCGTATCAAAATGAGGTCTTGAAGGATCAGACTGCCTTTTAAGGTCTATACAGTAGTATTCGCTCTAAAAAAACGAAAAAACTTTCAAAAAAACGAAGGTTTGTACAAACTGGCAATGTTCAAATCCCGATAACTTTACGAAAAATCATCACAGTTGAAATTTTTTTTTTAATTTGAGCTCAGGACAACATCATCTTCCGAATGATATTTTAAAAAAAATCAAAAAAGGGGACTTAAGAATTGAAAACTGTCAGGAGAAAAAAAATTTAGGGTCCGTCACCGAAAATGGATATCTCAAAATAGTACAAAGGGGGACCCCTTGGATCGGAAGGGGGTCGATTTTCTGAAAGGGGGCGTCTGCCCCCCTCTAAATCCGCTGCTGATAGTACTATAAAAATTTGGGCAAAAAAGGAAGAAAAATGACTAGTAAAACAAAGGAACAAAAAAATAAAAACTTAAACATGTTTTTTTCAAAAAAACTGTTGCCGAAAATTTTGGACTTTTTTGAAGTTTTCGTTTCCCAAAATGGAGTTCAAAAACTCTAAAATTAGTTTTACTTACTCAAATTAAAGTTTCATGGCTTAGTTTTTAATTTGAACCAAGTTGAAATTAAGTTTAAGCAGGAATAAGCTGTTGTAAGCCCGCTCGCTCGCTTTAGTAGCTCGAAATTGAAATAAAATCAAAATTTTTAAGCCAGTTTTTACTCGATACTGAGAAACATTTTGAAAAGTTTTTAATGTCAATATATGCATTTTCCTCACTTTCTTCGAACAATAGTTAATCCTGCAAGTTTTGATATCAAACAAACAAAAACTTCTACGGAGTTCTGATAAAATGAAATAAGAATTAGCTGCATCAAATGCCACGTTCCAAAACGAGAGACCAAATGATGACATCGAAATATTTGCGCCCAACTCATGGTTGAATATGCGGCTCAAAATTTTTTGCTCACAAAAAGTCATCGAACTAAATTTTCCTATTGTTGTCTTTTTTGCAGTTTTTTGCCATATTCCAGACTGGCATTGCGATTCAACTTTTTTGCGACTCAAGGTTGTTTTGTTTGCGTCTAGAACTTTCACGTTGTACCATTATTTCAGCCAAAATCGGTCGTAGACCTCAAGCTAGAGGTCAAGTGAGAGCTCCTCGTCCTCACATACTACCATTGCCATAGCATGGGCAACCGGCCTTTTAAAAATAGTGCATAAAAAAACGCGAGCTTCCAAATCTTCGTTTTAAACTCCCAAACTTTCGTTTTGATTCCAAACACCTCATTTGTTAAGAGTGATAATTCGGGAAACCATCTATGAGCGAATCAAAATGAGACGGAAAATCTTGTATGGTTCTCAGGCTGTTATTAGAAAAACGTGTCTGACAAAAGCGAAATAACCCAATAAAAGTGTTCAGTACTTGAATGAAATTATTCCCGCATTCGCCAATGTGGGCTACTAGTAATGCCTCAAAATATCACTATTGACTTGAAAAGCTTTATCAGAGACGTTAACTAATAACAAATTCTTGACCCAAAATAGTCTCTTTGATTTCAGCGGAACGAGTTTGAAAATTGTCTACGACTTCAAAAGAAAAAGAAAGAAACCTATATGAAGTTGGAGTGGCATTTGCAGTCTTGAAAATCGTGTACGCATAAAACAAGACAAGACTGCTCGAAACAGGGCAAAGCCCCGAATGTCCCGACTGCCTTTTAAGGTTTATCGAGCAGTAATAACATTTTAAAAAAATATATGGAACAAAAAAATGAACTTTTTTCTTCCCAAAATTTGAGAGTTTTTGTAAAAAGCATCCCCCCACACGCCAGTTAAAGTACAAAAGGATAGATTTCTCCCCTTGTAACAAATCAATTATGGCACATGAGCTTCTTTAAACGTTATTAGCGCGAAATATATTGCGCTTTAGTTGTCCCAAATTGGCCAAAATGGCACTCTTTAAACCCCCATAACTTTACGAAAAATGATCACAGGTGAAATATCTTTTCAAAATTAAGTTCAGGACAATATTTTTTGAATGATGCAAAAAACAATCCGTCATAAAATGCTAGTTAAAAAGTCGAAAATTGTCTGAAGAAAAAAAACCACCCCGAGAACAAATACTCTGTTACTTTCGTACAGAGTTACTCACAAGGATAGCCGGTAACTGTGCAAGATAACGGGCCGTGCTGGCTTAATGATGTTCTCTAAAACGATTCCAATTTGTATTTGTAATTTTTTATAAATATTTCTGTAACTAGATATCGTTTGGAAACAATTTATTATTGAGTAGCATAGAATCTTCACAACCAGTCTTAAAAAATTACAATATATTTTTTTTCAAATTAGTGTAATTTCTTCCACGTGGTGTGATTGAAGTGTTTGGAGCGTTTCAAAAAACTATTTTTGATATCAGCAGGATTTTAAATTTTCTCTGAACTTCTTGGTTGTCTCCTTTTGGCTTTTTTAAAGTTTAAACTTGCATAACAAACTGTTATGCTAGAGCAAAAGCTTGCATAACAAACTGACCAAATTCAGCCCACAAATTCAAACTTTTTGTGTTTTTGCGAGGAAGTGCCCACAGTCAGATAACCTCTGAAACAAGTTATGATATACTGGCGAATGTTCACCTTCAAATCTTGATTTCTCAAACGTTGATCAGGATAGCTCCTGCCAATATTCTCATTTAGCATGCGGCAACGTTTCGATCATATATCTTATAGGTTGCCTGCAAAATAACAGAAACGTGACAATAAAAAATCATTTGCGCGTTGAAATCGAAAATTTACAATTTATACGTCCCCTGACTGTAGTTTTTATTTAAGAAAATCACACTCCATCACTCAAATTGCTTTGCTTTTTCAGTTCTTTATAAAGTTATTGTACTTAACGAAAACTTGCAATAAACAAATGCAATGAAGAATATCTGGCAATCCATCAATCATTTTATGCAATGCATTTTTGAAAAATCCTGACTGAAAATGGAAAATACTTTATATTTAACAATTTTTTTTTCTTGAAGTATTGCTACATGAAATTAGGTACCAAATTGTTTTGAAGATATTTTCTGTTCCATAAGAGTCAACAAAAACCGGTTAAAGTTTTAGATGAAAGATTAGTTTTTTCGCAAAATCTGTTTGCGGTCAGAACGTTGAACGTTCTATGATACTTGCACTGTTTTCTTCTTTTTTGATATTTAATTATTTTACTTAAGCAGTTTTTTCCCTCTGTTTTTAAATCAGTTTTGTAAAAGTCAATCATAGATTTCTGTTTAATCTATCCGATTCAAAAAACTCTGACTGAAAATAGTTATTCACTTGAGCTTTGGTTTTTTCTTTGACAAGAAAGTTACAGCTATCATCACCCAAATTATACAAACTAGGGGATTGCAGGTCTGGAAAGCAAAATGGTGCGCAGCTAGTGGAAGATTGATTGCTGCTGCGAATTGTTAAAAAAATTTAAGAATACAATCATATTAACACTGAATTGACGAAACATAAATATTAACAAAAAATCTATATCTAATTCTGATAAGTTATCACAAATTTACATAGCGATTACAGACCTTCAACAATTATCAAGCGTTTGTTTCTAGCAAGAAAAATGGTCGACTACCGTCAAAGCTGTCGTCCTGGTAACTTCCATATATGGGCGTGTTGTCCCGAATAGTCGTGACTTGTGGCGAGAAAACTACAGTCGGGTGCTTGACGGTGGTGTTTGACACAGTTGCTGAAGTGTTTTGATAGTTATGCTGGTTATTACTCTGACTAGTTATCGTATTGTGGTTCTGGCCTAAGGTTGTATTCGAGTTCGGGTTTTTAAGTGCCGATGCTCGTTTGGGTACCGTATTTGAGCCATTTAATTGGTTAACTCCAAAATACATTTGGCTGCTAAGATTGTTACTAAACTGTTGGCCATGCGCATGAAGTTGGTGGAAATTTCCGTGATTTTTCTCGACAACTTGTTGCTTTGCAATCAATCTATTTCTTTGGTTTTTTCGTCTGGCCATGAAAACTGCGAGAATAAAACAGGATATAAAAATAGACATGGCAATTATAGCTAGAAGGGGAGCTACAGATGGGACTGATTTCACCAAATCACCGGCTGTCATGGTTTTGTCGTTGTCGAACGTCGGAGCTGTCGGCTCTTTGCCCGTTTTCTGAGGAAAAGTCGGTTGACCAGATGTTATTGGCTTAAGAGAGGACAACGGTATTACTGTAATCAAACTTTCCATTTTCAAGGTTGCTTTATCATTCGATATCGTGTTCGCATCACCGAGATCAGAACTTGATGACGACGATGACAACTTTCTAGAACTTTCTAGACGTTTCTGAGTGATGACCACGTGGAGCATCCAAATGTCTGTCATATTTGGTTTAAGAAGAGGAGCGCTTGAGAATGAAAATTTTCTGCTCCCTTCGAAGGTGATCTCAAATTGATCTTGATTGATTACTGACACTTCGTCTTTTCGCTATAAAAACACAATTTTTAAGTTTTCTTCTAAAATCTGGTGTCAAGCTAGAACTAATTAGCCCAAAAACCAAGGCAGGGGTGAGTATTTGTCTTCATATGATGAAAACGAGTTGACTCATATTTTTTTCCTGGTTGCAAGTTATTAGTTCAAAAAACCGAAAAAATATTCAGGTATTTTCTTTTTTACGGCCGCAAATTAATCGACCTTTTTGATATTTTGGAAATTAGCTCAGAATGCTAAATCTGATTGATTGAAGTTTGTTACAAGGAAACAAAATCTGGAATATAATTTCAAATATAGTATTACTAAACCTTCTGGTAAATTTGAGTGGCATAACAGAAGAAAAGGGCTCTTTTTCCTCAACCATCACCCACCAACAACTGTAAATTTTTTTGGGGGGGGGGGGGGGGGGGAGTGGGAGGAAAAAGAGCCTAGAAAATACCTGAATAACCAGAAAAGAAATGAAACTAACAAATAGTGGCATAAGTGTGTGTATGAGGAGGTCGTTGGTCCACTGACATCCGAACATCATCCTGTCTGGTCTGTACTGGGGAATGTACCCGTTCTGTCCCCTACACACATGTGCTTCTACCACCCTCACCCCTCTCCCTCCCCCTCCAACCACTTCTGCGGTGATGACGTCATCTGAAACAAAGTTGGGTGTCCCAAATGTGTTAGATTTGGATCGGTGCAAGGCAACAGATTTTTTATGAAAATTTTATTGAGATCGATGTTATAAAATTTTTCATAACAATACTCTTGCCTTGCACGCAACCACAAAAAAATTTTCAACAGCTACGGGCAGTTTTAAATGACGGACAAAGTTAGGTGGCTATCTGTATTACTAAATTTTCGCTTTCGATCAAATTTCTCCTCAAGATAAATGTCGATCAATCAACCACAAAAAAATAATATGGACAGTATCGCAAATACAGTTACGTTGACTTGAAAAAAGGTCGACTAATTGTTCAACAGTTTTTTTTAATTCGCGACGCCCCTCGCCCTGACAAAAAAATTCCTCGCCCTCGAGTAATGGTTATAGACAACAGACAAATTTGTATGAAAAATATCAATTTCTGATTTGCAAAGCAAAGAAAACGCAATTAAATTTTGATTTGAGAGCAAACAAACAGAAAAAAAACTGCCTGCATCCAGTTTCAAGCGTTAATAATCAATTATGTGGCAATTTTAGTAACCAGTCATACATAAATTCATTAAAAACTAATTTTATTCAATTAATAATTCATTATAATCTCTCTTTTTGAAGTCAGCTTATAATCAATTATAACACAATTTAATCGATTATAATCGATTATGTCCCATTATTTTAATCCCAATTTCTAATTCATATGTTTTGCACAAAAATCAAATATAATCGTTTATAATCCGTTTTGTTTATCCATTTGGTTTTCGAACTTGCTTCTGAGTTGCCTATATTTTATGATCACAGTTGTTTCATGATGCACATTGTAGGCTTTTTTAACCACAACATCAGCAATTTATTTTAGTTTCAAGGTTGATTCGGAAAATTTGTTTTTCATCTACCGCGGTAAGCTTTCAAGTAAAATGAAAGGATCTCTATGAAACTTTTGTTTCGTGTTTAAACTTTGTGTTCAGATGAACCAAAGTGTGACAGATCTCGCTTTTAGACATTTTTTTAATAACAGAAAATATTTAACCCATGAGACGTCATTCAGTTATTGTTTTGTTGTGACGGTTATAATTGATTTTAAAATCGGTTATAATTGATTTTAAAGTTTTTTTGTATAAACAATAATCAAATATAACCGATTATATGAGATTTATAATGCCCTGGAAAATATCACGATATATACGACTTTAAATCGTTTAAACACTTACTTTTGATAATTATAATCAATTGTAATTGTCAAAAAATCATCATAACAATCAGTTATAATCAATTACTTACGCCTAAAATTGGATGCGTACAAACTGTTTTTCGAAAAAATCTAAAAGCAAAAAAAAGCAAAGCAAAAAACAAAGCCTTAAGGTTCTTTGAAATTCAAGCACAATTTATCATTGAATATTTTGTTCATAAAACTTGATAAAACGGGATCCATAGGTGACGTTTTCAGTCCGCTGAGAATTTTAAGAATTAAAATCCACTGTTAAAACAAGTAGTCGATCAAGAAATTGATGTTAGCAGTCGACCTATACACTTGTTGTTCAAGAGTGGACTTTGTCTTCCTTTTAAACAACGAATTGTGCTGAGCTTAAAAAGAACTCAAAAGTCAAACAGCAAAAACCGTCTTATGGTGCATGAAGTATAGAATCAGGGCGGATCTAGGATTTTCTCGAGGAGGGGAGATTTTCAAAAATGCTGTTGACCATCTTTTAGGTAGTCCAAATTGATTTTCAGAGCTCTTCTAATGCACTAAAAAGACCCTGTTTTGGCCAAATTTTCTGCACCTCTAGTAAAACTTTAAGAAAAAAGGCCAAAAAGGCGTTTTTAGGCATTTTTTGAAAATGTTGACCAAAAAATAGCGTATTTTTGGTTCGCGCTCCCCTCTCAAAATTAGTACATATTGGCGTCAAAGGCACCTTTAGAAAACTTTTAGGGTCCGTCAGCCAAAATATGTACAAAGGGGGGACCCTTTGGGTCGGCAGGGGGTCAAATCCCTGAGGGGAGGGGGCGTTTTCCGCACTTGCCCCTCTAGGTCCGCCCATAAAAAGAATGTTCCATACAGAAGTTTTCAGTTTTTCTCTATCTTATCAAGAAAAATGGCCAACAACAAGCCTGACTTAGTTTCTAATTCTATTTTAAATTATTTCTGTTTCCCGCTTTTTTGTTAGTTTCTGGACTTTTGCTAGTTCTGCATACCACTAATATTCTTGTTTGACTTCTAAATTGAGCTCTAACTGAGCAAAATTGAAATATTCATTTAGCATAATTTACGCGAGTAAAATATCATTTTTGGCGAATATCATAAAGTTAAGCTCACTTTTGCGATAAAGTTGAGGTAACTCTGAAGACTGTACATTTTCGTTTCTTCGGGGGAATGTGAACTTAATTATGGGCGTAAGGGGGTCATTCGACTCGTAAGGGATGACGCGTAAGTCCAATTTGTCAATTCTCAGCTGAATCGTGAATGTCATCTCGTTTGAAGTGTTGCACTTGATGAGTCTATCTGGGCCTTGAGTTTTGTCGGAGCAAGGCAGCATGTAAATTGACAAATGTCCACCAAAAAATGCAGAGTCTCTCTAAACATTTTTTGATAAAATTTTAAAGTTATTTTTTGAAAATAAAATAATAAAAAGACTCATTTGATTTAAAAAATAGCCATGATTGAAGCCCGTTTAGATTTTACAAAAAAATGTCTCGAAAAAAATTACTTGGGTTTGCAAATTAATTTTCTGATTGCTCGATAACTAGGAGTGTTTTTAACTAGAGCTAAAAAAACATCATAATAACTTCTACGACGAGCCAATATATCTAAAACATCACTCTCAAAATTTGTTGACCCAGTCGAGTTTTTTTATCATGTATTCTATTAAAAAATATATATAATTTTTAAAACGCCACCGATGTTTACAATAAATTTGGCAACATATTATAACAAAAAATTATTAAACAAAAATTGAGAACTCACAGCTAGCGAAGTTATGGTGACATCCCAGTTTTTACTATTCAAGTACGTGGATCCCTTTTCAGCGACATCAACAAAATAACTTCCCCCGGTGGAGGAAACAAACTGGGGTTTTCTAACTGTAGAAGCGACTAGTTGTTCGCTGTTCCCATTAGACAACGCTTTGCTCGTTAGATTCAACTGAAGAGCATCCGAACTTCCTTCTCGGACGAATGAAATACTGTTCGGAAATAGATGCGCTGAAAAATTCATACTTTTTCCATACAAATATTTGAAGAGAACGCCATTTAATTGTAATAATTTCAAAGTTTATGTAAATACATGCTATAAGTAAAATTAATTTTTCTATATTTTAGGAGACTACATTTTTCAAGTTATACTTTCAAGGGATGCTAAAAATGGAATAAGGCAGAGGTGATAAAATTTTGGACAAAAAATAATTTAGGAAAAACTAAAAATTTAGAAGAATAGTTATCATCAAAGTTTTAGCCTAATAAGTTTCTCACCTAACAATATATTATTACCCTAAACAAAAGTTTCAGAACTTTGACGCAGATAGTATTGACCATTTATTAGAAACCGCATCTATAAAGTTTAATTTAGTTGTATTAAGAAAAGTTTTCTTGAACAAAAACGTACCCGAGAAAATTTCGCCGTTTTCTGAGCGTTGCTGTCTTGCAATACCATTGTACCATTCTTCTTTTGTATTTTTCGCCGTTGAATAGGTGTAGATGAACTCAATGTCAATCCCAGCAGTTTTCGATTCAAACAAATCCGAAGCTCCGGCAAAAGTAGACTTTGGTGAAAATTCAATTTCGTGTACATAAATCGGAACTTTCGTTTTTATGACTGGAAGTGTTTGGTGGTGTGAAACTTTAAAGTACTCTTTTTGGACAACGTTGCATTTTTCGAATAAAATCTTCAGCGTAAAATTAGCGTAAAATTTCCAACTGCAAGTCTTAAAATCCAAATTTGAATATAGATTGCGTGCGACAGCGCTTCGAAACTCAGTAGAGTCGTGCTGACCTGGAAAAAATGGATCCGAAACCCAATTTTTGAAACCGATATTCGATTCAACGTTGTTAGGATACTGGCAAATATTATTCCATAAGTTATCCCTATCCTGAAAATCGAAACCGGAGTTCAAAACCAGATTTCTTGGTTCGACTGGAATGCTTCCTATTGAAATGTATGGGTAGAAGTTGGCTCGGATCGGAACTGAGACTTCGAACTGGAGAACGTTCGGTTCAATGAACTCGGGAGTAACGATGGTGTCAAGTGATGACGTCAGATGACAGTTGTTCAGCATTTCATTTTTTATGGTCAAAAGTTCGCTCGGAACTTGTTCGCCTGAAAAAAAAACATGAAGTAACAAGGATAGCCGGTTACTGTGCAAAGAGAACATTTTTTTTTACAAAAACAATTTTTTTTTCAAAGTAGTGTCGTTTTTTCCGCATGTTGTGATAAAAAGTTCTGAGCGAAAAAAAGAACTTACGCATATTTGATAGTCATAGTAAAAAGGCCATTCGGAAAACAGTTTTTGAAGAAAATTGACTAGAAAAACGAAAAAAAATTTTGCAGAACTTTTTGGAATTTTTAATCTCTATATAAAAAATGGCGCAAAAAACATAAAAACTACTTTTATTTGAGTACAAGTACGTTTTCACGGCTTGAAGTAAGCTTAAATAAGCCATCGTAAGCCTACACGCTCACACCATACTAGTACGAAATTGGACCAAAAATCAAAAATTTCAAACCGATTTTTCTCGACTCAGAGAAAACAAAATTTTTTGGAAGTTTTTTAAAGTCATTCGAATCACAATTGAAAGGGATTTAATATGATATATTTTTCGACCCATTCCGATAATTATTTGTGGTACCTGATTTTGAGTGGAAAACAAAAGAAAAAAAAGGATAGCCCGTTACTGTGCAAGTAGCACAGAATGTTCCGACCATAGTTCTCAGAATGAAGCTAAAAAACTCCAAAAACTAGTTTTACTTGCTTAAAACTAAGTTTAAAGGTCTGAAATCAGGTGTAATTCAGCTTGTAAGCCTGCTCGTTTGCTTTATTTGCTCGAATTAAGACAAAAATTAAAAAACCGGTTTTTCTCAACTCTGGGAAAAATTTTTGGAATTTTTTTGAAGTGGTTCGAATCACGACTGAAAGGGTTTCAATATGATATATCACTCAACCCAGCCCAATGATTGGTTGTGATTTTGTTGGGAAAACAAAAAAAAAACTATAAATATAAACTAAAACAAAAATTCGAATACAAAAATCCTCCCCATTTTTCAAATGGTCGGAGCAAAAAGAAAACCAAAAGTAGAAAGAAAACCAAAAACTGTAACCTGGTATAAAAAAAATTAGACTTCAACTAAATCTATCGGGGCTTTGTTCTATTTGTTTGCAATAAGCATCATCAAAAAGTTATGACACGAATTCTTTTCGCTCATTGAAATTTTGAGTCCTTCATGCTTTCGAATATGTCATTTACTTTTCAGCATTATTTGAGTTATGTTAATTTCAGTCGGACTGTAGTCACTGTTAAGCAGCCCGAAGCTTCTAAACAAATCGACGACCTCATTAGTTTCTAAAAAGTATTGAAGATGAACAAAGTATGTGGAATATATCTAAAATAATTGGCTTTATCTCTCATATATTGCCCTAGTGTTCCGACTTTCGTTGAGAGGTACAAATTAAAATTTCGGTTCGGGGTCGTTTATTTTTTCCAGACGTTTCGTTTTTTTATTGATATTTAATACATCCCATTGTAGTTTCAATTAGCGTAGGATGAGTTTGAAAATTGACCGTTAAGTTCAGTCGGAACAATCAGGGCTTCGCTGATGAAAAAAAAATAACCTTCATTTTTCCAAAAAATTTCATCAAGTTTTCAAAAAAAACAATTCAGGATTTGATAATATAAATTTTTGAACCACGCTGAATTTTTCCAATTTATAGCAATGCAATTTAATTCTTTCAATTTTGGAATTTTCAAATTTTCAAATTTAGTAGTTGGAATTTTTTAATTGATTTTCTTTTCGATAAACAATGTATTGCGCTAACCTTTATGGGTTAACAAAATATTCAACGCTCTGTCCTACCACGAGCAATTTAGTGTTAGTTTTACAGCAGGGGCCGATCTAGAATTTTCTCAAGAAGGCGGATATTCAAAACAAAAACCGAAAATTTTTCAACTTATTTTAGGTCGACTAAGTTGATTTCCCGAGCTCTCCCGAATCACTCGATTTACCATTTTTGCTGAATTTTCGGCAACAGGCACAACAGACCAAAAAGGCAATTTTTCTTAAAATTTTTTACCAAAAAAATGAGTTTTTTTGGCGCACACTACTCCTGAAATTAGTATATAAATAGAAAATATTTAGGGTCAGTCAGCCACAAATGGATAAAAAAAAGTTCAAAGGGTGACACTTTGGGTTGGCAGGGTGTTCAATTTCTGAAGAGGGTGGGAATGTGTCCGCGCCCGTCCCACCGCTAAATCCGCTACTTCATACTATTTTGTAGTGATGAAGTTATATTATCGAACTTATGCAGACTATGCATATCTTGATAAACTATTTGAGTAAAAGTTACTCCGCAAAATTGTTGTGGCATTTCATCATTTTCATTTTCCCAATTCAATCAATTGATTTCTCAATTGAATCAAGTATTTTTGGACCGATGTAAAATTTTCAATGATATGTCCATGCTATGGAACTTCTTATCTCAGATCTTTTAAATTTGTATGGTCTGTTTTTATTAGTTCAAATGAAATTGGCAACAGAATTGTTTTCAACGGCATTTTTGAAAATAAAATCAAAAGAAATGGATTTTTAGCGCACCATTTCAAACACCATCATTGAATTATTTCCAAAATCCTACAATTTTTTTACCTTCTGGTTACAGGATTTTTTTAATAACAACATGACCATAAAAAAACAATAGCGTTTTCAATCTTTAATCATTGAGGTTCAAAATTGAAAAAAAAGTATTGAAATTTTTATCGTCAATTTTTTCGTCATACCATTTTTATCATACAATTCCATTGTATGGAAAAAATGGTTATCATGTGATTTTCATACGATTTTTTTATTCCATGGAATTGTATGGAATCGTATAATAAACATTTTTTCCATAGTATTGAATTGAATGATACGCGTTTTTTGTCAACCCGGGGTACCTTTTTGGCCGTTTGTGCCGACAGCCGTGGTTACACATTGTACTCGGAATCCAGGCACCACGAACATCGGATCCAGAACCTGCCAGAACCACGAAGTGTGCAGAATGTTCTCGTCCACCGGAATCGTCATTGATCTGCATTAAAAAAAAACTATATAAAATTATAGTTAATAATTGCAAAAAATAAGCGCCGAAAAACAGAGCAAAATCAGTGACTATAATCTAATAGAAGCGGGCTAGCATTTTTCCCGGTTTTCCCTGACGCGTGGGACCTCTGATTTTTGGTTGTTTTGATGGCCTTTGGACTTTTTGGTTTTAAATTTAGGCGTGAACTGATCATAAATTAAACTTTCTGACCCACTAATTTGCCCATTTTTCATTTTTAGTGAAATAACTTTTGCTGGTTTTTTTGACGTTTTTGTCCCGACCGAATGAGTTAAATAAGAACTAAAATTGTTTTTGCGAGTTAAATTATCTTTTGTATCTTCTCTTAAATTTTAGGCTCACCTGGAGGGCTAAAAAACTTTTTTCGGGTTAAAAAATCTTCTCTATCTTTTTTTAAACTTCAGGCTCACCTTGACTCGGAAGAGCGACTGAATATCCTCCATGTGTAGAGGGTGCGTGAGTTGTTCACGTGTGAACATGCAGAGATGAGTTCATTGAAGTGAGTTTTGTTCACGGGGTTGAAGTCGTACTTCGGATCACAGCCCTGGAAATCAGAAAACTATTAGCAACATTTTGAAGTTCAGTTTCTTTTTGGGCAGAAAAATCATAGTTTTTGAAAGTAATTTTTTATTTTCATTGAAAATTGACGCTCGGGCCAAATGAAAAACATAATTAGTTTGCGATCATTTTGCGTGAAAATTAACTGAATTGAAAACTTCCATGTTGGCCAATTTGTTGGAATAACTTATGCCCAGTATATTGTTTTATATCTGTTTATAATTTATATAAAACGTTTAAAGGCTAGGTCCGAATATTCGAGCCTTACGAAGTTCTGCGCTCTAACTTAGTCCTTTTAATTGTTTTGAAGAAAGTGACAGAATGTTTATGCTTGGAGTAGTTTTTCTGCGCTTTAATTTTGTCCTTTTCATTGTTTTGAAGAAAGTGACAGAATGTTTATGCTTGGAGTAGTTTTTTTATTCAATCAATTTTCAATTTTTAACTAAGCGTTTTTGATGGAATTTTTTCATACCAACTGAAGAATTCTGTTGACAGAGATCTAAAAGAAAAATATATTTTTCCACCTGTGATCTTTTTGGTAAATATTCTGACAAGTTTGCGATTGAAAACGCGCGACATGTTGCGTTTTTATAACACGAGTAAACTGCGAGTTGAAATGAGCAGGGTTGGCAAAATGTAAGTTAAAAACAAAAATAACAAACTAACTGTTATTTATCGAAAAAAAAACATGTTATTTTTGTTAAATTGTTAATTGAATTAACATATCAACAAGAGTTGAGTTTCTTGAACAGCAACGCCAACTTTCCGGCTTTCTCAACGCCGAGTTGAGCACGAAGCTTCCCATACGTCAGGTGAGATTTTTCGCTCTGTAGTTTGTCAAGTGAAACTGCAATTGGTTTGAAAATTTTTTTTCATCCGTTCGGGATTCGCTACAATCGTTTCGGAACAAGCATGCAGTATAGTTGCGTTGTGTTTTTCTAAGAATTACTCGTATTTCTAAGAAATAGCTAACATCACTGTTAGAAATTATAAATAACACTGTAAGTTAAATTAAATGTTAAATAACATGCCAACCCTGGAAATGAGGCAAGTCATTCGATCTTATTAAAAAATACGAGACGCTTAAAACATCCTTTTGTAATTTACATAGCGTGTAGGGGATAAAATGAAAAAAAAAACAAAGAAAAATAGAATTGAATGATCCAAATGTCTGTTAAAGTCGATGGAATAGTGTTCACTTTGTTAGAAAAAGTTTTATAATGAATTTTTTTTCGCGGAACTTTGAAGCAAAAAACTGAATTTAGTTAGAAAGTAAATGATGCGCTTAGAAAGAAGCTATTAGGACTAATAAAGATATGCAAAAAATGAACTGATTTTGTGAACATTTTTCAATTTCATGAGCCGTTTGAATTGACACTGTTTTTTAAACTAACCAGTTTAAGAAAAAATGAGTGAACAAACAATTTTTTTTCCACTGGAAAATCGACAGCTTACAAAACACTCGAGACTATTTTAATAACATTTTTTGCACATTATACATTTGGTTATTCGAGAGCCTTATTTGCCTTTTTTCGAGGAAACAAATTCGAATCAAACTTGAAAATTAAAACCACAAAAAAATAAAATGTGAAACACTGCAAAAAAGTTGCAGAAAATTTATTTAAAAAATCATAACTGCTAAGCAAGTCTACTCGCATCAGGGCATAGCCCTGAGTGTTCCGAATGTCTGTTAAGGTCGATGGACTAGTGTTCAATTTGTTAGAAAAAATTACAAGAAAAACATTAGAAAATTTCTTAGATTCTTTTTAAAAATCATTCCCCCTTTTGAAGGCCACAAGTTTACAAAAAAGGATCACTGATCAATTATATTTTTGTAATATAAGGTACAAAGTGATCTATTTTGCGGACAACAAAATTTTTAAATAGCACGCCTCAGTTCATTTTGGATTGAGTTCAAAGACGGGTTAAATCTTCGCTTACGCGTTAATTGTTCCGTTCGTAAGACTGGCAATCTTTAAACCCCCGCGATTTCGTGAAAACAATCACAGGCGAAACATATTTTTTTCACATTCGAGCTCAAAACATTAATATCTTTTGAATGTTAAAAATCAATTCTGCCAAAGAATGCTTTTCAAAAAGTCGAGATTTGTCTGAAAAATAGTTGGAACAATTAAAGGTAAATTGTTTCAGAAGCCAAATAGACCAGGAGAATTGCTGAAGTTATCAAATATTTTTGCCGCAAATTTATCCAAATTTAGATCTTTTTACCCTTTACAATATGTTTTAATTGTGTTACGAGTTATTTATATCGTTTGAGAATAATTTAAAAAATTAAATCACTTCATATTCAAACGGTTAAATATATTTCATCAAGGTCCAAAAATCTTGTTTTTGACTATCTAAGCTACTACAACTGATTTTTTTCTCATTTATAACAAGTACGCGCTAAATTGAAAGATGTGCTTGAATTTGAGCAAAAAAAAACAGCCTGTAGGTTCATTTGACTTCTCATTCTACATTTCTACCCAAAAAAAAAAACAACACGGAATAACAAAAACAGTTGCAAAATAGTTTTTTTAGTCTTCCGCAGATTCCAAATTTCTTCAAAAAATAGCAAAAAAACTTGCAAAGACATTTTTTATAATACAATGAGTTTTTGCGGCTTATGAAAACGTTTTTTCATTCTATAACATAAACACAGACAGAAAAGCTTCAACAACTTCATTTTGTTTGGAAAATATCAATATTCATCATTTTAAACAATCGTATTTAAAAGCTTTACTATGATTGCCACACAAGGAAATTACGACGAGCACATTTGCTCTTGATGTAATGCCTTAGATAGTTATAAAGCTGATAGTTATATAGAAGGAACAAAACTCCTAACAGAATTTGCAAGTCTTAGAAGAAAATTTGCATTAAGATTTTGTTATCTTTCAAAGCAAAATTTCGAACCGGTTTTTCTTTCATTTGAAAATTTTTCAATGTCGAACAAAACACGACTGAAAGAGTTCGAATATGACAATCAACCATCCTTATTGATAAATAATTGTGGCACTAGTTACCACGGAAAAAAGTTTGAAAAAATTCAATTAAACCCACGTGAAGACAAATGTGCGCCAAATTTCTAGTTATCGGAACAAATCTTTTTTGATTTCTGCCTTTCGACTGATTGAAGCAATCTGATATCCCATTCGGAAAAAAATGTCGGAAGAGGGTTTTCTATCTAATCGATCACAAGTCTTGGCCAAATTCAATCTTTTGATTTTACTGTACAGAAACTATCCATTTTGTATGTCAATTTCTCTGAAAATCTGCAATTGTAATTGAAACATTGAAGCTACGAATATTAAATTTCTTTATCATGCTTCGACTTTTTTTTATCGATTGGCTTCGATTTATGGCTGAGGAGTTAACATTATTGTCTAGTAAACTTGAAGACGGGAATTCTTTTATTTCAGGCTAGCAATAGCCTGTAATAAATCACTATTTGATCAGAAATCAGATTTTAAAAAAAGTTTTTAGAGACCCCACGTTTCATTTAAACATTTCAGAAATAATTTTCTGGCCAAATTTTCTGCTTGGAATCAATTATTTTGTGTCAGAAATAAGGAATTCGTTACAACGGGAATTTATATGCATCATAGCTTGACTTTTGATGAAGATGTTCTTTTTTTATAGCGATAAAATTGCAAAATTTATCGAATGATCTGCAAAATCGTCAGATCGTGTATTCGATCCCATCGTGCTTTGAAATCGTCAGATCGTGTATTCGATCCCATGCCATGGCAATGATAGTGTGTGAGGACAAGCTCTCACTTGACCTTCAGCTTTAGGTCTACCACAACCTGACCGAATTTGGCTGCAATAGTGGTACCACGTAAAAGTTCTAGACGCAAAAAAACGGCCTTGAGTCGCAAAAAAACAGCTTCGCTCAGCAAAAATAACACTGTCTGGAACGTGGGGAGATAATACAAATGGACTATCCTCGACAGGACTTTTAAGGCCTACTGATAGCTCCTCTGCGATTCGCAGGAACTACAATTATTATTAAAATAGCCCGTAGAACTGCAAAATTTATCGAAGGAAATTCGGGCTCGTAGAAAAGTTTATGGACCAACCGACAGACATACAAGTGGGACCCCACTTATGACAGTGTTGTCCAGTTGCTCCTCCCTCTCCACGCTCATCTGACTGAGGGGGACTATTTTGGGGGGCAGGGGGAATGCGAGCAGGTGGGATTCGTACTCCTGGTCACGGATGTAAACCAATGTTTTGTTCCTCTGAAACAAAAAATAAGCTAAGCTGAAACCAAACTTCTCATTATTCTAGGAAAAGAAAAATTAAGCTTATATCGGCTCTGAACGGTGCCCTAGTCATCAAGGAAGGCTATCTTGCAATATCTTGCAAGAATCTTGCAAGATTATTTTAAAAACGACGCATCTCTTTTAAAAACGACTTTTTGAAGAGATGCGTCATTTTTAAAATAATCTTGCAAGATTCTTGCAAGATCTTGCAAGATAACCTCTCTTGATCGACTAGGGTGTTCCGTTCCGATGATAAAACATAAATTAAGTACAAAAAGTTCATTTTGAGAAAATATCGATAAACATTTTTGCTGCATTTTTTCTTGATAAATAGAATCTTTTGACATATATTAGTGAAAAAAAATGGAAACACGAGGGGAAACAGAGGTCATGGTTTTATACTTGTTGTTAATTCTCACCTTCGAGTAGAGCATTTCTTTTGAGTCCTGATTGGTCAATTTCAGAATGAAACTTTCAAACGAATCCCATCTGCCGTCGGGAAGAATCTTCACCGTAACGACCTTCTCGACATCTCCGGGCCCAAAAGTTAGAGCTGAAAAAATACAAATTAAATAGATCTCGGATCATTTGGGGGATCTTGTTTACAATCTACACTATCTAAGCGACTAAATAATTTCCTCATCTGTAAAGAATTAGTTCAATACTAGCAGTGCAATTTAAAAAAAAACTAGGCGTGAACATTTTTGCAACTTTGTTTCAAATCCCCTCCTTCAAATCCCCCTTTGCAAAAGAGGGGGTTGAGGGAACAGTTAACAATATCAGGGGCGGATTTAGGGGGGGGGGCGGGGGGGCGGACGCCCCCCCCCCCTCAGGGATTCGACCCCCTGCCGACCCAAAGGGTCCCCCCTTTGATACTTTTTCAGAAATCCATTTTTGGCGGACCGACCCTAAAATTTTTCTAAAGGCGCCTTCGGCGCCAATATATACTAACTTTGAGGGGGAGCGCGCGCCAAAAAAAACGCAATTTTTTTGTCAAAATTTTTCAAAAAGTGCCCAAAAACGGCTTTTTTGACTGTTTTTTCAAAAATTTGCCTGCGGCGCAGAAAATTTTGCCAAAATAGGCGCAAAACAGTGCTTTGGGAAAAATCAATTTGGTCGACCTAAAAAAAAAAAAAAGGTCGTCAAAATTTTGGAAAATTTTTCGAAAATCCGCCCCCCCCCCCCCCCTCGAGAAAATCCTAGATCCGCCCCTGAACAATATCCCATATGGTTGTTACAATACTGTTCATAGTCGCCCAAAATCCAAAACCTGTACTCAGGTGAGAATTTAGGATTTTCTCTTTTCTCGAGGGAGGTGATTTTCAAAAGTTATGATGACCTTCTTTAAGTTCGATCCAATTGAACCAAATTTTGCGAGCTTTCTCAAAATGCCATAATTAAAACGCCTTTTTTTCACTAAATATTCTGGGCCGCTTGCAAGTTTTGAAAAAAAATCAAGCCAAAAAGTTCGTTTTTTGGTGTTTTTTGGAATGTTTTGACCAAAAAATCGCATTTTCTCAGTGTGCACTCATTCTCAAACTCAGTTTATTGGCGCCAAAGGCGCCTTTAGAAAAAATTACAAGTCGTTCGATCAAAAAAAAAGATATCGTCAATGACCAATACTAAAATTGATGCAATGTTTAAAGTTTTGGATGACTAAACGCTTTCTTTTATTCTGTAATACTAACTGAGAATTCATGTTTTTTATCCAAAGGGGGAGAGGGTTGGGGTTGTTAGTTAACAAAATATCTCAAGCTCCGTTTCTTGTGTGTTCATTTTTATTTCGCTGACCTTTCTGAATGGGTTCGTAGTCGCTCTCGTCTGCTGTTCCGTCAAATGAAGTGACGAATACTCGGTTAGTGGTAGTCAAGTCTCCTTCCCTCTTCACAAGCACTTTCAATTCACTTGAAGAAGCTGCTCTTTCTTCCACAGTATAGGAGGCCTTCTCAAAGTACACGTTGGGAGCTGAAATATTTCACAATAAGTGTCTGGGTGGTCCGGCAAATAAGACGACAGGACATTAGGACGACAACCAATTGATGGGATTTTAAGACGACATTACACGCAATTCTCAACGTTGTATTTCTGAGAAATATATTTAGTTTAAACTCGAACTGTTCATTTATATGTTTTTAAGCTCATTTGTCGTCTTATTGTCTTGTCGTCTTATTTTCCTGTCGTCTTAATGACCTGTTGTCTTAATGACATGCCCTCTTATTTTCCTAGCACCAAGTGTCTGATGTAAAAATTTAATTTTTCTTATCCTAAAATTGAAATTCTTGTTTTTTTTTGTTCTATCCAATATTGTTAAGTTTTGAATTTAGTTTTGATTTTCGACTTTTTCTAACAAATATAGATGAAATTTGAGATCCATTAATTGTTTCTGATCAAGTCTGGACAATATAAATGATTTTTTGCCCAACTCAATAACTGGCAATAACACTATTGATTTTAAAATAAGTTGCAGAAATGTCGAAAACAATGATGGCAAATTTCAAGGTCCTTTATTCTCACCATCATCATCCCAAACTTTCAGCATAACTTGACTGGGTTCCCGGATGACAGGGGTGAACATCAAATCTGAACTGGGGGGCTTGGGATTCTTCAAGGGGCGCAAAGTGATGCTGACTTCAAATAACTCGAACATGGATTTGAAACTGTTGTCGTTGTGAAGTTCGAACCTGCACAAACCGTTTCTCTCATCTGAATAAAAACATTAGTAATCAGAAGGACAGAAAATTGAATATTTTTCGCATAATTTTTAGTCCAACGAAAATCAAATTTTTTTTGTAATTTTTCTCAGAGTTACTTCATCAATATTTTTAATGAATTAGATCTTCCTTCGGCTGTATGGCCGAAAAAGTAAATGAAAACGTAATAATTTCTAGTTTTTATTTGCTTCATAATAGCAAGCATATTTACTACCCAACAGCTCCTGTAGCTTCGCAAAACCGTCTTCGAGAACATAAAATTGAAAAGCATCCCCCCTTCCCCCTATGGTACATATTAACGAACAACCACCACTATAAAAGACTAATTAATCCAAGCACACAATTTTTCGATCTCTATATCTATATCCCCTCTTTTGCAAAAGGGGGATTATTCGTTACTAGGTATAAAAATCTCATATGCTTTACCGTTGATTCGTTTTTTTAGAGGGGGGATATTTGTTACTCGGAACCCGCGGGGGGATATAGTTCAAGAGATCCCAATTTTTGTACCTGATGGCAAATCCTCCCCTTTGCAATAACTGGGGGGGGGGGGGAGTTAAAACAAGTAAATAGATCCAAGATATTACCGATTGGAATGACTGCGTTGAATTGAGACGATTTGAAGCTGGTTGATTGTGAGTCATTGACTGAGCAGATGAAATGGACAGCCTGGGAGGCGTCCCCCTTCCTACTAACCCTCGCCCACACACTCCCGTTACCCTCCCCCACCTGCACCAAAGGGGGGTCCATGAAACTGATGCTGGTCCCTGGAAAATAGCCGGTGATTAGAACAAAAACGAATAAAATGAAAAATAATAGATTTAATAATTGAGTTCGAGACTATAAAAGAAAAATGAACCAAAAATAATGGTTTTAATAATTGAAGTCGAGACTATAAAAAAGAATAAAGGAAAAATAATAGTTTTAATTTTGAATTTAAGACTACAAAAAATCCAAAGGTATCAAAGGTGATGATAGTGAGTAAACTTCACACGCAAAAAAAAAAAGATTTTTCCGTCAGTGGCTGATTAATAGTCAAGGGATCCGGAATTTTTTTCATCCATTTACTTTTGTAAGAAGCTCAGACTGTAAAAATTGTAAAAACAAACAAGCTAGCCATTGAAAAAGTTTTTATAAAGTGTATTTTGAAAATTTTTTTAGAAAAAAGTAAAGTCATGGAAAACCTGACCAAAAACACTATTTTCAAATCTGATATCTTCTAAATTCCAGAAGTTTCTAGAACAAACTCACGGTCAGTTTCCTCGTCTGATATGTACACCCAATGAACTTCTTTACCCTCTCTCGATCTGCAATGTGAGTACTCCTCAATCTGTAACTTCAGAGCTTCCGTTCCCTCCATTAGGACTCTGGAAACAAATAGAAGATCAAAACTACACGGAGTATTGCAGCCAAAGCTCCGCGCAGCACGCACCGAGCGCCCATGGATTCTAATCAATTATAATGGATTCCCGAGACAAAAATAATGCTATAATTCATTGAAGATGTAAAATTCACACCACGAAATTGATTATATTGCCAATTTTATAATTAATCCATTATAATCAATCATAAACCATTATTTTGGCACTGAAATCGATTATTTTGGTCAAGGTAATCCATTATAATGGATTATTTTTGAAATACAAATCCATTATAATCCATTATAATTGATTATAAAACATTTAAATTTAGAACTAAATCTCGATTTTTTTTGCAGAACTTTTGCAAATTTTGCAGGAAATTTGCAAAATAAATGCCATGTCTTTTACATAATGCCATGTCTCAACGTCATTTGCTCAAGCTTTTCCCCAACTGAAGAGAGAGAGAGAGAGAGAGAGAGAGAGAGGGGGGGGGGTAAACTGGGGAGGGGGGTGTCAATCATAAACCCCTGACCCAAAGACTACCAATAAATTACCTCACCCAAAGACTACCAATAAATAACTGTAAAAAATTCACCCCTATCTTCGCTCAAACCATACCCTCCCTCCTCCCGCAAAATGAAGTGTTAAACTGAGATGAATTGAAAAAAATGACAAAAAATATATAATTGTATAAACTTTATAAAACGTAATACGTAGCAACTGCACTAAGCAAGAAATGCGACAATTTTAAAAAAAGTTGTTAAATTTCATGAATAACCACTCAAAAAACACATTTAATTGATTACAGTTGATATGAATTAATTATAATGATGATTTTAACATAAAAAACATTAGGATCATAATCCAGTTTTAATGGGTTATAAGCGATTTGTAGCGAAATTACTTTGTAATTTTATAGATACTGACCTTATTATGACAATAAAACCAATTACGATCTAAGGGCGCTCGGTGTGGGTGATAATCAAAATCTGTAACTAATTACAAACTTATTTTGACTCAAGCCATCTATAGCTACACATCTCTACAATCAACAGGGATCTAGGATTTTCTCGAGGAAAAGAGGGAATTTTAAAAAGTTTTGTTTTTCGAAAAGTTAGTCGATACTTTTCGGGTCCACCCAAATTGCTTTTCCGAGCTCTTTCCAAACAACAAAAAAGTCCTATTTTGACAAATTTCTCTGCGCCGCCATTAAAGTTTGGAAAAAAACAGGCCACAAAGAATGTTTTTGAGTAGTTGTGAAATGTTTTGACGTAAAAATAGGTTTGTTTTCGATGGTTTTCGAGGTTTGTTTTCGAGAGGCATTTTGGGTGGCAAGGAGGTCGGAAATCTGAAGCGGGTTACCCTAAATGTGCTACAGCTAACAAAATTCTATTTTCTTCTGTCGAATAACTAAGGAAAATCTTTAAAAACAAACAAAATACAAAATTGCGAGTGTAAATACAAAATAATTTTAAAAAAATAGATGAGTTTCAACAAAATTTGCAGCGTCAAGCCCAAATCTAAAGGCATTAATAACCGTCAATTGTTACACGCACTCAGTAAAAAGAGAAAATAATCGATTATATTATAATTATAATCGTACTTTCAGCAAAAAATATAACTAAATATAAGTGCCAATTTTAGATGTTTAAACGATTTATAATCCATTATAATAATTAATTTTTTTGTTGAAACGGAACTTTAATATTTTATAATCAATTATAATTGATGGTAAATTTTCCGAAAATTTCTTATAATCTCTTACAATCTATCATAAAAGATTATAATCACTTTTTCTATCAAAATATTATTTGAAAAAAAAATTACTATAATGGATTATAATTTAGCTTTGAAACCACAGTAAAAATCAAATTTATTTTAAGTTTAAGCTATAAGCAAGGGCGGATCTAGGATTTTTTCGAGGAGAGGCGGATTTTAAAAATTTTTTTGAAAATTTGTCGACCTTTTTTTAGGTTGAAAAATTTTAAGGTCAGTCAGCCAAAAATGAATATCTCCAAAACAGTGTAAAGGGGGTAAACACAATTACAAAACATAAATGATTGTTTTGTAATTACCGGGTATTTCATGGAATTTCAAGATCTTTTTTCATGAATAGCAATTTTGCCTTCGCTATCTTCAAGTGTGGTTTTAAAGAAATCAACTAGAAAACAGTCATTTCAGCAACTGTGAGAGAACTGGCAAACACGTGTTTAGCATAAGTTTGCTCCTTTTTTTAAAGCCAATGAAGTGTTTGCTTTTAAATGTATTAATAAAATAACATAATTTCTTCCAATTAGTTTGTTCGTTAAAAAACAGACATAGATTTAGAAAAGAACAAAGTGTGACACACCTCACTGAAGTTTTCAGCAAGCTTGGCTCTAACTTTTTCAACAAAACTAAATGGATTTTGTCCAAAAAAACTTAAGAAGGTTTCTATTTTCGAATTTTTTTTAATAACATTTGTTCATCATAGAAATACTAATTGTCAGATTTGTTCAACAAATTAATCAGAATTTGCTTTGGCTCCAAATTTCATCCAGTTGAAACATTATAATTAAAACTACACGCATTCTTAATCGTTTATATAATGGTTTGAGTACCAGTCTTACTAAAATCGGGAAAAAATCGATTTGAATGAAATAATAATTGATTATAAAATTCTCTTTTTAAAATCAAGCTATAATCAGATAAATTAAATTTTAGTCAAATGTAAATTATTATTTATCCATCAGTTTTTCGATACAAATATAATAAAATTATATTCGTTTCTAATCGAATAGTTTTATCCTAATTCATAATTGACATGTTTTGCAAATAAAATTCGTTTTAATCCTTTTTTGCCCATTTTGTCATCGACCTGGGATCTCATTTATTTTCAATTTATAACAAATTGGTTTTTTTTTAAATTTCTTTTCCATAGAGTTGTTTCAAGATGCACATCCTAAGTTTTTTTAACCGCCAAAATGTTAGCACATTGGTTTCGTTTCATGATTTCAAATAGTATAAAAAGATCTCTATAAAACTTTTGCTTTGTGGTAAAACTTTGTGTTCAGATGAACCAAAGTATGACATCCTATCCCACTTTTGGAGATTTTGTTTTTGACATAAAAAATAACCTGTGGGTGTAATTAAAATATCATTTTGGTGTGACCAAATTTTAGCAAAATAAGAGGTTATAATCGATTCGAAGAGACTTTTTTAATTGGAGCAAAAATCTGCAAAAAAACTGTCCGTAACTGCAACATGTGTGTTGTACCTGGATGAGGAGTTGGTGAAGAAGAGGTCGTCGTGGATCCAGAGTCGGAATCTTGCCCTGCCTGCCTCCCGCTCGAACACCACCCTCTGCGCACTGCACATGTAGTCATTGCCATCTAACACAAAAATTTGTCCTTGTTTTTTATAGTTTCATGCAAGAAATCTACGATTTTTTTTAACTGTAGCCCCCCTTTTGTAAAGGGAGAGGGGGGTTAGATGCAATGTCGAAAAAAAAATGGTTTAAATCTTTTGAGTTTTAGTTCAATTTTGAAGAGTAAAGCAAGCGAGTAGAATATTACAGAAGGATAGGCCATGAATTTGTGAAAATTTTATACAGCGCATTCTTGTAAATCAGAAATTCAAGAAAGAACAAAAATTTTCACAAAAAATTGAAAACATTTTCTTAAAGTTTGGAATCGTTTTAATATTTATTTTAAGTGAAAAAACTGTTGCCAAATCTGCTCAATTTTTTTGCTATCGTATTTCTAGGCTTCCGTTTAGATTCACTGATGACAAAAAACGACGCAATTTGAAAAACAGAAGTTTTTTTGCAGTTTTTTAAATGAATACGGTCGGAACATTCTGTGCTACTAGCACAACAACGGGCTACTCTTTTTTTGTTTTGCTTAGATACTGAATGGAATTATTTAATTCTTTAGTAAATGCCGAAAATTTGGCAATATTTGTGAATTTGAGCAACCTAATGTGTTTTTTTTTTATAGGTTAGTGAGAGCTTTTTAGGTTAATTTGACTTTTCGAGATGGTTTTTACATGCTGAAATGAGTGAACAGAAAACTCTTTAAAATGAGCTGTGATATGTTAGTTTTGTTAGTCAAAACATATTGCAAAATTGTTTTGCCAATACTTTCTGGCTTCCAATTTGATTTGACTAGCTAACCAGCAGGTGACATGTGTCCGATTAGCTCATCCTGACTCGGCTCTTCACACCGAACGACGACGGACGACACGTAAGATAGGTCGACTCCCTTTCGGATAATAGTCACAAACAATTCTCGGTCACTTTCTTCGACTTCAGTTGACACTTTCTCAAACTCAACAACGGGAGCTAAACAAATAATATGAATTGGCGAGGCTTTTTCTCATTCTCAGCCTCTTTCTTTAGAATTTAGGAGCTCTTTAACTAATTTCTTCCAGCCAAAAAGGGGGAATAATTAAATTTCTTCTTCGCAAAAGGGGGGATAAATAACTAAATCTTCAATCATACGTCATTAAGGTATAAGGTATCAAATGCAAAAAAAACCTGCGTTAAATTTTATACGAAAGTAAGCTGTTGCGGAGCATAATTTATGGAATAAACAATATTAATTTAAAAAATATGTTTGCTAATTTGCTCGTTCATTTGCAAGATCGAATGAATGGCCAAGTCAGCAATGGTTAAAATCCAAATCAAAAACAAAACGCTTCTAAAAAACACTGATATTATTGTTGACATTTTGTATGTTATTTCGTTTTAGTGTATTTATTCACGGTTAGAAGCTCTTTGCGTTAGAAGCTCTTCCAAGGAAAAAGCTTCTTTGCGTTAGAAGCGCTATTGCGTTAGAAGCTCTTCCAAGGAAAAAAATTTTCAAAAAAATTTTAGTTTTTTAAAAATGCCGCACAATTTAAATTTTCAAAAAAATACCGTTCAATTTACCGTCAGTTGGATCTGGTAGTATGATCACTGTAGAAAATGACTTCCTTTTATTTATGAAGTCGTTGTCAAGGTCACTCGCTGCGTGCACGTAGAACAGTTCCGGATTGGGCTCGTAGTTGTAGTCATCATTAATTGTGACGTTGCAGAAGTTCTCGTTGATTCCTGGCAGGAAGATGACAAAGTTTCTTTTCCTTCCTTTGTCGGAGAGCGCCTCGAAGTCGCCTTTGAAGTTGTAGCGAGAAGCCTCGGCCGTATCTGAAAAAAAAAAATTTAATCAATTAGTATTTTTTATAAAATTCAACTATAGTTTTGTAGTTGCATTATTACTAAAACGTTTGTTATAATTAATATTTCGGCCGGTAAAAAGTCGAAGTCGCCTTTGAAGTTGTAGCGAGAAACCTCGGCCGTATCTGCAAAAATGAAAAAAAAATACAAACAAATTAGTATTTTTTCTAAAATTCAACTCTATAATTTTATACTTGCATTATTACTAAAACGCTTATTACAATTAATATTTCGGCCGGAGTTACAAGTTAATAAGTTCGAATGAGAACTCTAGTTTGATAGTCAGTTTCTAAGGAGAACTGTTTAAAAAATTAAAGTCAATCAAAGATTGTGAACCTTGGACAGTATAGCAGTAGACTGTGACATTCTTCGTGAGATCTCCAGATCTTCTGAGAAAGATTGACACTTGTCCTACTTTTTCACTCACATTGTACTGGCTTCGCACCATTTCAATTTTTGGACCTGAAAACAATTATTTTTGTAATAACAGTGAATTGTGTCGAAACGATATCTAGTTACAGAGTTATTTACAAACAGTTACGGCAAAAAATCAGGGTCCCCCTTTGTACTATTTTGAGATATCCATATTTGGTGACGGACCCTAAAAATTTTCTGAAGGCATCTTCGGCGCCAATATATGCTCACTTTAAAGGGGGGAGCACGCGCCAAAAAAACGCAATTTTTTTTGGTCATAATTTTCTAAAAAGTGCCTAAAAACGCCTTTTTTGGTTTTTGGTTTGTTTTTCAAAATTTTGTCTGCGGCGCAGAAAGTTTTACCAAAACAGGGTCTTTTTAGTGCTTTGGGAGAGCTCGGAAAATCAATTCGGTCGACCTAAAAAAAAGAATGACAAAATTTTCGAAAATTTTTGAAAATCCGCCCCCCCTCGAGAAAGTCCTTTAACCACCCCTGGTCCTGGATGCATGAAAATTGGGATTTTTTCTGTTGCTTTCGAATGACATGTTTAAATATGCCTTCATCAAAGCCTGATTGATTAAAAGTTCATTTTGTAAAAATGATCATCTTTAAAAAAAATTTGCCAAAACTTGTAAGTTTGATATTTTCATAATATTGTTTGTGTGAGACCACACATCCACAATGCAGCTGGTTACCAATGCATTGTCATTGCAACAAGGTCGAACCTTTGGTGACTCTAGTTTTGAGAAAACCAAGGACTTTGTTACTTGTCTTCGGTTACTAATACAACCCGAAAATTTTGAGAAAAAAAAAGAAAATATAAGAAAAAAAAATTTTTGGTTTATAGAAAAATGCAAGTATTTAAATAGCAAGTATTTCAATTTTCATATATGAAAAATTACTACTGATACTACAGATTTTTCTGTTTTTATGGAATTGCATGAAAAGTGTATGACTAGCATTTTTTCATGCATTAGTATTTTTGGTCAACCCGAGAGGCTGGTGTCCAGAAAATAAGACGACAGCTGTTAAGAAGACAACCGTTTTAAGTGGGAATTCAAGACCACACTACATGCAAATTTTCATATTTTGTTTTTGAGAAATTTAAACCACTCAAATTCGATCAGTTAAATTATATGTGTTAACTTTGATTTTTCGACCATTTTTTTGTTTTCCACGTCTTACTGTCTTGTCGGTTTATTCACTTAACATCTACCAGAGCAGCAGGGCTCGTGTAAAAATGTCCCATTAAACGGAAAACATGTTCGACTTCTTGAGTCCCATAGTTGTTTCGATTTGTCAAAATTTGATATGTTTGCAATTATTTTCTCCTCTCTTCTCTATACTTCATATTATTCTTCATAATTTGCAACAATTTAACTGCAATAGAGATCCCCTTTCAAGAAACTGATCCAGACGATGAAAAAATTTAAACGAAATTTTTTTTGCAAAAAATAGCAAAAAGATCTAGAGAAACTCAAATTTGTTTGAAATCAAATTTTGCGACATTGTTTTTAGCGTTGAAATTTGCTCATTGAAAGTGCGAGATTTATTTTGATTACAAAGCCGTTTACTATTGTTTTTCCGACCATTGAAAAGTGAATGAGCTGTGTATTCGGGTGTTTTTTTTTGTTTTCCACGCAAAATCAGCTACCACAAATTATCATCGGAGTGTTTTCAGCCATATCTCATATTAAAGCCCTTTCAGTCGTAATTCGAACGACATTAAAAAAAGTTCCAAATTTTTTTCCAGTGTCAAGAAAAACTGGTTTGAAAATTGAGTTTTAGTCCAAATTTGAGCAAGTGAAGTGAGCGAGCAGGCATAAAGTAGCTTATTTATGCTTAATTTAGGTTATAAAAACTTAATTTTACTGGAGTTAAGTTATTTTTGGAGTTGTTCTGTTGCCAAATCGGGAATCAAAAAGTTTTGAAATTTAAAACAGTTTGTTTTGGTTTTAGAGTGAGTTTTTTTGTTATTCTAGTCCCTTTTCTACAGAAATTGTTGTCCAATTTCTTAATTTTACTATGACTATTGTATATACCTAAGTTCTAGTTTGTCATTCTGATCCTTTTATCACACCAGGTAGAGAAAAAAGACACTAACCTGAACAAATAATAATTGTATTTATGTAAGACTATGTTCATATTGTACAAAGCAAAGCTATTTGTACAGTAACCGGCTATCTTTTTTGTTCCGACCGTTGAAAATGGGGAGAAACTGTGTATTCGGGTGTCTACTCGCTTTTTTTTGTTTTCCTCGCAAAATCAGGTGCCACAATAAATCATCGGACTGTGTAAGGTGAAATGTCATATTCAAGCTATTTCAGTCTTGATTTGAACTACCTTACAAAATTCTGAAACCTTTTTACCAGTGTCCAGAAGAGCAGGTTTGAAAGTTTTGAGCTTCCGTCTAAGTTCGAGCGAGTAAAGCGAGCGAGCACGCTTATTTATGCTTAACTTAGGCCGTTTACAATATCTTATTTATGCTTAATTTTAATTTTACTCAAAAAAAAGTTAATTTGTGGAAAATTTTAATGCTATTTTGGGAATCAAAAACTTCGAAAATTAAAAAAATTTCTGCAAAAAAAATTTGAGAAAAAAAAACAATTTATTTTTTTTTGATTTTTTCAAATGATTTTTTTTTAAATTTTCTTGGCATTTGTCTTCAAAAACTGTTTTACTGTTTGTCTAAATTACTATGATTGTCGAATATGCCTGAATTGTATTTTACTTTTTATCACACCACGCAGAAACACTACACTAATTTGAAAAAAAAGTTCTTGTAGTTTTTTGAAGACTGAATGGTCGGAATATTCTGTGCTACTTGCAAAGCAATCGGCTCCTCTAAATTTCTGTTTGTATTTTACATTTCTACAGAAAAAAAAATACTCTTGTTCAAACTAATTCAATTCCTACGGTCTTCATCGTCGTTTATGTCAACAATGGCGTTTGAGGGTCGCAAAGGGTCCGGGTCAATGCCTCCGACCAGAGGATGAGTAAGGAACACGTGAAAACTCTCAGTTCCCTCGTAGATATTGTCGTCCAATAAGGCGACTGTCCAGCTAGTCGACATCTGGCCCTTCTCCATTCTGATTTGACGAGAGTTGACCAGGTTGACGTCGTGAGAGGCCGTTTTCCGAGAGCCGTCTCGGGTGCCGACAGGGCTGTTGCCGACTTCTAAAACCGAGACGCCGAATCAACCAAGACAAGAACATGCCAATGGCTATTCTCAAATAGACTTATTTGACGCAAAAACTTAGCTAAGCAACAATTTTTCAGGAGAATAAATATTTAAGTCTCTTTGAACTTATCATGAGAACAGTTTTTTAATTGAAAGCTTTGGTCTCAAAAAATTTGACAGCATTTTTTGAAGAAAAGTTTTGACAACTTTGGAAAATCGTTGCGTCAAATAAATCTAAGCAAGTTTTGCCGACTTTTGTGCAACGCGAGATATGCAAATCAGCTATGTGATATACATGACACCTAAATTGAGATCCGAGATCATCAAATTAGCTAAAATGGCCTTTAATTCAAAAATGTCTGCTTTTTGGAATTATGACAATCTATTCATTATAATGATTTAAAATCATGACCATGAAATCATTCCTACCCTTTGGCAAAGTAACGAGCTCTAAAATAGGATTGAATACTTCGGGCTAACTTCAAAACTTCAAAAAAAAACTCGCTGATACACTGTAAAAATTGAAGAGAAAAAATTAAATCCCCCCAAATAATAATTGATGAAGTGTTTTGTAAGTTAGTTCTGTATTTGTTAGCAAACAATTGGTTAGCTGCAGATTTATTAGGGCCGATGAGTTAGTTGCTCAAACAACTAGAGTTATGGAGGGCAAATTTCAATTCAGCATACGAAATGATATCAAAATAAAAGAATTAAGAATTTCAAATTTTGAACTTTGTAAAATTCAAAAGGAAGGTATCAATAGAACACAATGAAGAAGTTTTCGAGGTTTTCAATCAGGGGCGGATCTACGATTTTCTCGAGGGGGGGGGGGGAGGGTTGGGGTGAGGATTTTCAAAAAATTTTCCGTTATTTTGTCAACCATTTTTTTAGATCGACCAAATTGCTTTTTGCTTTTCCGAGCATTCCCAGAAAACTTCAAAAACCCGTCTTTAGTCTTTTTTGGAAAATTTTTACCATAAAATTGCGTTTTTTTTGGTACGCGCGCCTCTTCAAAATTAGAATATATTGACGCCGAAGGCGCGTTTAGATAAACTTCAGGGTTGGTCGGCCTAAAATGGATGTCAAAAACTATGTGGTTGGTGAAAGGGTCGAATCCGTTTTCCGAAATCTGCCCCTGTTTTCAATGATAAAACTACGAATTTCATTTGGAAAAGTTGGATAAATTTTACGTATAAGTTATCCATGGTTTTGAATTGATTCTCAAGATCACTTCATGTAATTTTTTTATAAGTTAAATAATCAAATACTTTCTTAAAAAATTTTTCTCCTAAGAATTTTTCTTGTGCCAACTTTGCGGAATAAGTTTTTTTTTTCACAACGAGATCAAAAGTCTTAAGAGTTAATTAGAGTTAAACACAAGTAAGTTCCTTCTGTTTGTTAGAGATGATTAATATTTCCTCATCATCACAAGACAGTGCTGTGTACTACGTGCAAAATATCATTATTTCTACTGCTGTCTCAAATCGCACCAAATCACCAATAAAATTAGTAGCAAAAATTTGGAGCAGACAGAAATAATTAAAAAGAGCAATCTACTAGTGCACAAAATTTTCGGTGACCTTTAGTCATCCTTTCTGTCTGTAAAATAGCTTTTGCGTGTTAAAGTTTTCTGAGATAGGTAATTTGCTGTTTTGAATTAATTTTGTTTGTTCCAATTTTTTGCAACTCTTTTTAACACATCCGCTTTCATATATGAATCAACTCCAAATATGCCACTCATCTTTGGCCTGGCCAGCCGTCAACCTTCATTTGTGCTCGATTCAGATGTCACCGTCAAAGTAGTCCCAGGAAATTATGTTTCAAAGAAAAAATAAGAGAAGTTTAAATCATAACCAGCAGTGTTACGAAAGAAGCTTTAGAGGTTAAGTGCAACGGTCTCTCTCAATTTTAACTCATAATTTTCCCTAGGGATCTGATTTTTATTCGCAATTTTACTTCAATAAGATTTTGCAGTTTGCTTAAACATTTTTTCTGGAAAATTTGGAAAATTTGTTCGAAACCTTCAAAAAATGCGAAAAAGCTGTACAATCCATCTTTCAAGAAAATATTCTGAACAGAAAGTTTTTCAAAATTTTTTTTCCACTTAAAGATTTTTTTTACAAATAAAAATTCAAACTTTGGTTGAAACTCCATAAAAGCTAATCTGATTAAATAAAAAAACAAGCCTTAATTTGAAACTGACATTTGATTATTGCTTTATAAATTTCTGTAATGTTAGCCTGTGACTTCTTGGACAGATGCGCATTCTTTCCGTTACATTTTTTGGATCTCTTTCATTATCCCCCCTTGGTACCTAGTAAGTAATTGCCACTCCTATAAAAAATAATTCAATGGTTAAGCATATGTAAATTTTGTTCCTAGTAACGAATATCTCTCCCCCCCCTATTGCAAAACGGGTGGGGGATAATTAAAGAGATCCCATTTTTTTGTAGTTGTCGGCTGTTATACCTGAGGCCTGGTCGGGGCGTTCCATGAACACACCCTCGGTATTCCACCACGAATCGACCGAAGTGGCCTTCCAAACATTGACGAAGTCGGTGCCTGGATAAGCGCTGATTCCCGACACGAAAACATCTGCATAGAGGCCGCAGATTACATATGAACATAAGTTATTATCCGTCACAACTCGTTTCGAAAAGTTAAATGGATTAAAAATCCTTTATAATGGAGTTTTGTTGCCTAAAATGTCTAGATAATTGGTTATAGTGCCAAATTTAGACAATGTGTAATAATAGGAACTTGACTGTTAGACTCTTCATCTGATGAAAATTTAATGTCTAGTAGTTTCTGATACATCAAAAAAAAATTAAAATACATCAAATTTTAATATTTTTTTAAAACACGATAACATAAATATTAATATTACTAATTCTAATTTTAGAACAAACCAAGAACGAGGTATAACAGATATTAAATGAATCAATGTTAAGCTCCTTTTTAAAAAAATTTTCAGTGTTTTGATTTCATATCGAACATGGAAATTTACAGAATCGCTTTTCAGGTAAATGAAATTTTCGATTAAGCTAACATATACACCCCTCTCCTGATAGAAAACTTTGTTTAGTGACTAAAATGTTCAGCTCTGATTGGCTGAAAATTTCAACTTAAAACCCAAATCAACATCCCCCTAAACTGTTTCAAAGGGGGGGGGGGTGTTAACTTGGTCTCAAAAACAAGTTTTATATGAACATAACCAGCACATGAAAACTAGCTGAAATAGATGATAAAAATTAGGTTGATCACGCCTGTCTGAACTATTTACGACTCAAGGGCCGAACAAATGCAAGTTGTCAGTTCTATTTAGCTGAAAACACTGAAGTACCACCACCAGGGAAAATTCCAGAGACAGAATTTCCCAATTAGATTTCATTACTGCAGGTCAAACTAGGGTCAAAAACAAGACAACCGATGATTTATATCCAATTTCAACTAGGATGTTTCCCCGCCCCAAAATTGCAAAATCGAATCACATTTCGATTCTGAATTTAATTGAATTGGTCTGGGATAGGGATTTAATAACTTGAATCACACGCGTCTGTTAAATCTGGTTATTTTTCTAGGGCGGCTGGGTTTGGGTTTAATCTGGGAAAATACAAGGAAGAAGTGTTAACTGAGAAAGCGAAGCTGGTAAGATCCAATTAACCCTAATTGAATGAAGTTTAGCTGTAAGTGCTTAGGAGGGTTCCCCTAATTTAACGGAGGCTGAAAATGTTACAAAACAAGAAAAATGACACTGCTGTTATTTATCAAATTAGCTGAATACTCTTTCAAAAGGAATTTTTAGAAGAAATCTGCCTCTATTTGTAGCTCAATCTGCTTTTTTTCACTACCTTTTAGAACCTAAAGTTTTGATTCCGACTGTTTTTCTCACATATTTTTGACCTAATTTCACCTTCTTATAATTCTTTATGAACTTATATAGCCAAGACATGTACATGCATGATATTGAGGGTTTTAGTAATGGGACTAACCCACTTAAATCGCAGTGTTTGTGTATTGTCACAACTTAAGGCTTGAAACTTACATTTTACTACTTTTCAGATCATAATGTTTCGATTTCGACTGTTTTTCTCACGTATTTTTGACATAATTTCACTTTCTGGTAATATTTTGTGAACTTGTAACACCTAGACACCTAGAAAAAATAGATTAATATAAAAGAAAAAATGAGAAAAAATGCATGATATTGAGGGCTTAATTGGACTAACCCACGTATATAGTAGTGTTTGGGTAGCCTCGTCTAAGGAGCCTTAGAGTGACATTTCCCTGTGTCTCTTTCACCTGGTAGTGTTGCTTCTCAAACGACACAAATGACCACGCTAAAGTATGTCTGAACAGCTGGGGGGCTCTGTTACCACCTAAAACATAAAAAGACTTCAAATTACATGCTTTAATTTCTGCACTAAGTTGTACTAAATTGGGATCATCCTCCCCCAGATCGACCAAATTAAGATCTTCCCTTCCAACCCAGCATTTAATTCCCATTAAATTTGCTAAGCGCTGCATGTGAAACGCTCGATTCTGATTGGCTGAAAATTTCTAACTTAGAACCGAGTTAACATCCTCCCCCCAAGCGGCTTGGGGGGGGGGGGGGAAGGATCATAAGTTGGTCCCTAAATTGTACTAAACTGTTGTATTTTTTCGCTAGAATTGATGGGGAGGGTATAAAACGAAAATATGTGCTGTTCCCAGGCCTTCATCTGTCAAATTTACCGGCCAACAAGCCTAAAGATCAACAAACCGAAAATAAAGTTACCATTACAACAAGCCAAAATTTGATGTTGTTTTGCATCGTAGCAAGAGATTATTGCTGTTGTTATGCAATTGTTGCGTAATTGTGATAGCTTTATAATTGGTTTGGGTCTAGGGCAAATATCTGAAATGTCAAACACCCGCTATGTCAAACATCCGACATTATGTAATAATTATGTAATAATAAATTATGTAATAATAAACAATCTGACGTAAGACTTTCAAACACTAGATATAACTTAGCTAGCCGATTCTAATTTAGCAGACTTTCCGTTAATTGTTGCCGGTGGGCGCTTTACGCGCGCGTCGATTCTTTTCAGGGATAGCGGGTTCCAACTTTCATAGTCACAGAGTGCTAACTTCTGTTGGCAAGATCGCACACGCTGATGCGACTGCCGCAATGAGTATAAGTTCGACCAATACAGCATCTTCTAAGCGAACGGAAGAAATCTTGCCTATTTTGTGAGAAATGGCGAAAGCGCAGGTTTCGCCCTAGTTTTTGGATGTTCGCAAAACTTTTTCAGATGTTTGACAAATCGGATGTTTGTACGGTACCCTGGTGGTGTTAAGGTATCGCGGTTTGTTGAACGTCCGCCGTACAAAATATATAAGAAAAAAATCAGCGGCAACCACTCAAACTTTGCGTGTTCTTCTTATATCTTTCATTTTTGAGCCTTGCTTAGAACCAAATTTCAAAGATGTTAAGCTAATCGGAGTCATCATCTGATCTCAGATTTTCTCGATGCGAGCGCGAAATTTCAAAAAAAAAAAAATGAAAATTTGGTCGAGCTTTGTGTAAGGCTAACCAAATTATTGATTTTGTGAGCGCTCCCAGAACAGTAGAAAAACGACCAAAAAATGTGCGCCGCAGGCAACTTTTGAAAAAATGGTCACAAAAGGCTTTTTTGGGCACTCTTTGGAAACTTTTGAAACCAAAAATCGTTTTTTGAGCGCGCGGTCCCCTTTAAAGTAAGAATAAATTAGCGCCAAAGTCGCCTTTGGAAAATGTTAGGGTTGGTGAGCTGAAAATTGATGCCATAACATAATGCCAAACGGGAGAATCTTTGGTTGCTGAGAGTCGAATCCCTGAGAGGGCAGCGTCTGCACCTGTTAAATCCGCCCCTGCTAAATCCCCCTTATCGCCCCCCTATAAATACGCTAACCTATATCCTAATTCATCGAAACTTTTCGGTAAACGGGGGGCTGGGTTAAACTGGGCGGATGAGCTGGGGAGGGGGGTGGTGGGGTTGAGCGGTAAGGGGACTGATTGTGCATTAAGAAAATGAGTAGGTTTAGAACTCCAGTAAGACGCGAGAATAGCACAAAATGCTAAAATTATTAATTACAATTTTACATGGAGTTTAATTACAGTTTTTAGATCACATTATAATCGAATTTGGTGGATGCAACTCCGAGGCATGATCTCCGTCTCAAAAAACAGCATTATGGAGTACTAAATGACAGGGGCGGATCTAGGATTTTCTCGTGTTGGGAATTTGATAAAATAATTAAAAGTTTGTCGGTTTTTTCCCCCCACTTCGTCCGATTTTTTTCTAAGCTCTCCTTTATCACTATAAAGACCATAAATTGGTCAAAATTTTAGCGCCACAGGCTAGTTTATTTAAAAAATTAACAATTTTAAGCTTGCTTTGGAAGGTTTTAAGCAAAAAATTCCCCCTCCCCCCCCCACAAATTTAATATATATTGGCGCTAAGAAAAATTTTGGCATCTGTCAGCAAAATGTTTTCCTAAAATTGTACCAAAGTGTAGGTCCTTTACGAATCAAGGCTCGAGTTTCTGGAGGAAAAAGGGTGTCTTTGTCACCCCTCCCCCTCAATCCGCAATTTCTTTGTGATAAATTTGCGCCAATGATCAAAACTATGCAACCAACGCGATAGCATAGAGATCTGCAAACAGTTACAACAGAACAAAATCTTAATTGAAATCGAAAAGTTTGGCCGGCAGAATATAGTTTTCAGACAAAATTTTTGTCTCAAGACCATCTGAAAACCTCAATTTGCCACATTTGATCTAACTTGGTCGAATGCCTCTTCTTGCTACTCATTATTAACCCTTTATTGAAATTGTTTGAGATCCGCCAAATCTATGATTGTATCAAAACAATGAGACTGGTTTTTGCAGAAAACGCTCATCCCACTGGGTCTTAACTGTTCCGACTGGATTTTAATTGCTCTCAAATGATTTTTGAAAAAAAACCTGATACAAACAAAATTTTGACTGAAAATTTTTTCCCAACCAACAAATATTGAGTGGATTGCTTTGAATCAACTAGCTTCACTCAATCCAATTACAACAAAAAATCAATGAGTGATTAATATCCACGTTTCGATAATTCTATTTCACATTTCAAAATCGGAGACAAAAACCTAGGATAGTTCAAAATGACAGCTATATTGGCAAATTCTTGACACCAGAGGTTTTGTGAATCTAAATTGGATCGCAGATACTATATTCATTACATTTGAATGCTAAGAGTTATTAGTTTTATTGGTTTTTGGAGAAAAATTGTTTAAAATCTACGTTTTTGATCGATGAAAGCGGTTTGATTAAGACATCACGGGAAGTCAAATAATTCTTCGAAACTCAGATAAAAAATGATAAAAGCTACGGTTTGTTCCTCTTCTGAACTCTACTCTCATACTCTTAACAACTTGACTCCAAAAATGTCACACAATTTTTTTATCGCTTATTTGGTTTAATCTTCTTTCACTACCCCATACATTTTAAACCCTTCTTCACGGATGACAACTTTACCTGAACAGCCGAACTGCATAGTCTTAGTAGCTTCGTAGAAGTTTTGCACGGATCTAGCGTTGAATCGAATCAAGACTGAGAGGGGAGCCAAAAGTATGAGAAGGAAAAATGGAAGATTAGTTTTCATGTTTTCAAAAAAAAATTGTAAAAAATTCGGCATGTCATATATTCCAAATTTCGAAAAAAATGAAAAAAGGTAAAAAACCAATTTGCTTAATTTGATACATAATGTGCGATATATTTTGTTCTACTAACTCGTGAGCGAAGACTGAATCTGGCTCAAAAATTGTTCCAGTTTGATTTGAGGCAAGGTATTTGAAACTATTAACGGTAATGATACTTTTTTAATTATGCCCAGCGCTTTTTTCTGCGCAGCAAATTCGTTCCGAATGGAACTGAAGAGATTAGTCTCTCATAATGGAGGAACAGAATGAGGAAAACTTGAATTGAAATTTCAAAACTCTCAAAGAAATTGCTAAAATCTGAAAGAACTTCAGTTGATCGAAGCCAAGAAAAACCGATTAGAAACAAACAAATACTCAAAGTTTCAAATATTGCGGAATCGAAGTCGTGTATTGGAAAAATCTAAAACTATTTAAAAAAAAAGAAAAAAAAATGTATATCTATATCAATTGTACAGCTGTAAACTTTGTAAAACTTTGCTGTGCTGCTAAAGCTCATTCTTTGTTAAAAATGACTTTTTTTGTGCAAAAGTCATTTAGCTAACAACTAACAATTCTGATTGGATAAAAGTGCTCCGTCTCTCAGTCCATTTGTCATGAAAATACTCCTCTCCCCCCTCCCCCCTCCCCGAACTGATGCAAGCTAATTGGTCATATTCATTCAAACACGAGTCAAAATTTAACATAAGTATTTGATATTATCACCACAAAATTCATCATATGTCACTATTTCAGAAACAAAAAACTGTTTCAGACAAGTTAAAGGAATTTCGAAACATTCTGGGTTTTGTATTGATATACGAGCAGTCTATTTTGAACTACTTGGTGACTATTTTGCAAAAAAGGAAAACATCATATGTTTTCTAGCTCATCATACTAATGGCGCCTGCATGTATTTTCCTTAAAATTTGGAACCGATAGCTTGATAAGCTTTTAGCCATGGGAAGGGATGAATTAATGGAACCCTTATCACCTGTTTTCATATCTCCCAGATCCAATTTTGAAAACTAAGCGAAAAAATTTCGCGTCGATGAAGATGGAAGGTTTTCCACATCACAATTTAATACCGCTTAAGTGACAGTAAATATCTATGCTTATCGGCGTCTTCAGATAATAACTAATGGCATAATCAATGAAAACCTTTTTGTCACAAAAAACCCGAAGTTATTCAATTTATTAAATCTAAAGGAAAACATGCAGATTTTATTTGAATATGATAAATGGGTATTAGTTGCTAGCATGTTTTTTTTTTCAAAAATAGATTGTGAAAAAAATCTATAATTTATATCTCGTGTTTTTCTGTGAGAATTGACACTAATCCATAAGTTGCGCCACCCTACACTGAAATTACTACTCCGCTAATCCAGCATAAAAAGCTGAAAATTTCCCAATTTCATAAATAAAATGAGTAAGACGTGTAGTAGATCGAGCAAGCAGATGAAATCTGCTGGAAAAATTGATTTCAGATTAAAGTCGGTGGTAGCTTCTGGCACCAATATGCAAAATTTAGACCCTATTTGGTCCATACGTGAAAACATTCAATAATACTGGATAGTTTAATTTATTTACGTACCATTACTGGTTTCAAATGAAAGTTAAATATGCTTGACATTCAAATTCTAAACAAACAAGGGTATAAACAACGAAGT